GGTCAAGGTAAAGAGGGTGCTGGATGCGGTGGGGATTCGCGATGATGCGAGGATGTTGGCTAAGCTTGCGTTTGGGATCAAGAGTCCGCGGATGGGTGCGCTCAAGTTGTATTCATTGGATGTGTTTGAGTCGATGAATGTGTGTGAGTTTCCCGAGTTGCTGAAGGTGTTTACGGAGGCTTGTGAGAGGGATGGGGGAGTAGGGGAGTAGGGGAGTAAGAGGGAGGATTTTGTTGTCTCCATACGTTGGTTCCATCGTTGTTTGATAGTGATACCCTGGATGTACAAATTTCGTAGAGTATTATATGTATAGATTGAGCGGATCGTATACTTTATGGGTATCGTATTTACAGATAGACGAAGAGGAATATCTCGGCATGATTCTCAAGTCACTTTAAAGTTCCTTCTTCAGTTTGTTCGCCTCGGTCTCCTCTTTCCTCAGCTCCTTTGCTCCAATCACTGGCCTCCCCTCGACAGCCTTTTCGCCTCCAAACGTCTTGAATGCATTGTAGAAGATCCATTCAGTTGCGTGCTCGACAGGCTCATCGAACATATAGGGTAAGAAAGGAACGGCCGCAAGACCCAGCTATTGTGTGTCAGTACTCTCTCAACCGCATATACTGAACGATTTAACACGACTTACTCCAATCGGAGCCCAAGTCCTTAGCGTCTTGTTCTTTACATCCTTGAGCGCACGCCCAGAATACCTGACAATGCTATGAATAGTAAAAGCTGGTAGTCCCATCGAAGCCACAGCCTGGAAGACCGCCCGCTGCGCCATGACAGCTCTGTAATCCTCAATGGCCGGTATACGTCCTGGAACAACCTCTCCACCCGTCAGTGGACTAGCAGCACCACCATACTTGACGCCCTCAGCATTCGTCGCATTCTTCGCCAGATCCTTTACCTTATCAAAGATACCCGAGCCAAACGACTTCCCCGTCGCCACCATATCCTTGTCTTTCTGTTCTCCAAGCGACTTGTCTGCGGCCTCATCGATGAATTTCTCAGGGTGCAGCGTACGCTGGTTGCGGCAGTAGGCCTTGTAGCCTTCGTGGGCGACGTCGCCGGTGAGATAAAGCCAGGAGATGCCGTAGGCGCCTTTGACCAGGTAGGGGTGGGCGATGGGACGGAAGGACTCGCCAATATCGGAGGTGTAGGCTACATAACGATGCGCCGAGAGCATAATGGTGCGGATGCGCGAGGCGTAGGCTGCATAGCGGAGAGATGTGTCCGTTGTGTCGTCGCCTCTGTCGTGGTATGTTAGCTATCGTGAGGAGCAGTAGGCAGAAGGCATCTGCGCATTGCGATGGTGTATGCGATTTGGCAATGAGAGGGTGGGTTAAGGTAACATACTCGCCATCATACAAGACCTCCCACAGCTTCTCCTCATCATTGAGCGTATCCTGAAGCTCCTTAGGAAGCTGTTTCCTCGGCGGTAGAACCGAAAAGTCAGGACGCGCTCCCCCTCGCTCTACCGGCACACCATCCACCTCTTCGACCTTCTTATTTGCATCTTTAGCCATTCCGACACAATCGCAAGTTTTCAATCCGAAATCTTGTCTACCAAAGGGTAAAGAGAGTTAGTAAGAAAGGAAGACTCCACACGCAAGTTTTATCATCGTACCACTGTCAACCTCGGGACACCCCAGCCAGCAACCAACCCACCACCTCAGCCTCACATCATAATCCCCCGCCCCCATCCCTGTCGCGCAGCCACACCAGCCACATTTTATCAGCCACATTTTTCGTCTGCCAAGCCACGCACCTCGTTCTTCCGAAGCAGACCAGCAAGCTCCGAACTGCAACGAACCGTTCTCTACCCGCCCGCCCGCCATCCATTGACGCATCCGCATCTCATATACTCCCTGCGCTTCCCCCCCGGAACGGATCACACAGCTTTCACTACCGCAAAGATGGTTGCCATGTATACGATTTTCGGCCGCCAGGTCGGATCGCACGTTGTATGTCCTCTTTTTCCTCCATCCCCGGAGCGGGTTGAGTTGCAGGGAAAAGTTTGGGACGACATCAATTGAGAGGTTGCAATGCCGGCAATTGATTTCTCGGCAATCTCTCCTCGCGTTGCTCTTTTGGGGGGTCATCAAGGGTGGAATGGACGAGCAGATGAAGAAGATGGCTAACAAGAGATGTATAGCTTGCGATTGCCACGCTCGCCACCACATTCACCGGTGCTGCGCTCTCGATGGGCGGAAAGAAGGCCGAGGACCCGACTACGCCTCCTATCAATGCGAAGAGCAGTGAGGAGGAGAACTTTGTCAAGTGCGTTTTATCCCCACTATACATCTTTCCTACCGATAGCCTCGGTGCCATTGCAGTGGATAGAGAACTAACACATCTTGCGTCTACAGGGAGTACGTCAAGAAAGCCGCAGACAAGGTTCAGGGAAAGCAATAAGTGCACGCTTCGACCGCGAGAGAAGATATGGGAGTTGGTATAACCGTTATACGGTGGACGTACTACCCAGCATACCACGGTTTCGAAGGGGAAGGGGGTTTTTTTTCTCTGCAATGTTAGACGGAGCAAGAGAAAAAAAAAGTTGTGTAGATAAAGAATGAAGCCGATTTGGGGATCGAATGACCAACAAAAAACGAAACCTATCATTGTATACATATGTTCCATGGCTAAACCTGCGTAGATGTGCGTTGTAGACGATTCGAAACCGATCATACACCTCAAATAAAATAGAAGAAGAAAGGCATGGAATTGAAGGGAAGGGGGGTATCATTCGATACTACAACGCAAGCAAACAAGCCAAAAACTCATCCATATGCTCAAAAAGGACGTCGACAACGCCGTCTCATCATGCACCCATACCCAAAACGCTTCCTGCCCCTACAATCACTGACTCATTCACTCACTCCCCTCCATCCTCACTCTCGTCCTCCTCCTCAAGCACAACCTTCTTATTCATACTATCCAGCACCTTGCAATAAAACTTGACGGCCTGCGCACTGGGGAAGCAAATCTCTTCGGTGAGATAATCCGGTAGGATATCCAGGAGCTCTTTGTCGCGCTGTTCGTCGAGCAAAGGTTGGTATATGAATTCTGTTTCTTCGGATGGGGAGGAGCCTGGGGCGACGGTAAGGTGGAAGTGGAGGGCTTTGTAAAACGTTAGTTTTCGGATGAGGTAGGTTGGATGGGGGTAGAGGGGGGGAAAGGGAAAGGGAAGGAGGAGGAGGAGAACTTACTACGTCCCCGGCCCGTCTGAAGACAATCGTATACATCATCTCCTTCGTCTGATTTCTTGACGCTCAAAACGACGAGGTTAGTCAAGTCGCTGTACAGATCGACTTTTTGGCGTGCGAGGGTTGCTTCTTTTGCGGCTTCGACGGTGCCGGGGAGGACGACGCCTGTGGTTCGGGGTTTCACGGCGCTGCCTGGCACGGTCTTGACGTCTGGTTGTATTGTCGACGAGGATCGAGCTGCTGCAAGTTTGGACGAAAGCGTTTTGTTTTCATTTTGTGTGGCTGTGAGGGACTCGGCAAGTTTCTTGTTTTCAGCGGCGAGACGTGCGGATTCTTTGGAGGCGGCGGCTAGTTCTTTCTTGAGGGAGGCGAGGTCTGCAGTGCGGGATTGCGTGTCCGAGACTTGCTGTTTAAGAGATTTTATGACGGCGTCTTGGTCTTTGGCGATCTGGTCGGTCCGCTTCTTTAGTTGGTCAAAGTTGGACTCTTTCCCTGATGATGCTGCTTCCTTGAGAGCTTCGTACTTGGCTGTCATGGCGTCCAGCTTCTTCGTGAGCTCTCCTAGTTTCCGGCGCATGATGGGGTCTCGCTCAGAGTCTGATACGCTTCCTGTCCTCCTTACTCCAGCAGACGTCCGTCGCGCCCTACTGTTCGGTTGTGCATGTGCTCGGCGCGCAGAAGGCCGCACCGGTGGTGGCATGCTCTCTGGTATCTCCTCTATTTCTATCGACTCTGAAATATCCATGGTTTCTGTGTCTAGCTCTGGCTGTGTCTCTGGGATGGTCATCTGCTCCGGCTCAGGTTCGGATTCGAGCGCGCGCTTTGTGCCTCTTGACTTTGCGGTTGTCTTGGATTTGGTCTCCTTCTCCAATCCCTCCTTGACTACGGCTTTGCGCCCTCTCTTTGCCGGCGCTGGTACTGATTCCTCCTCGCGCTTCTCTTCTTCTTGCACTTTCTTTGCTGGCCTGCCTCTCTTAGTCGGCTTGGCCTGTGGCGCTGGCTCCTCTTCCTCAACGTCAGCCGCTTCCTCGCTATCGCTTCCGTTCGCATCATCCTCCTCTACCAGCGCCTTGCGCCCAGCTTTTGTAGTCGCTTTCTTTACTGCTCCATTACTCTTCTTCGCAACTGTCGCACTAGTCCCGTTTGTCGCGCGCGCCGCAGACCGTCCTTTAGCAGGCGCCTTAGTCGTAGAAGCGCCCGCCTTTGATTGCGCAGCGCTTCCACGCGCTTTGCGACCTGTCGCCTTGGTGTCGCCGTTGGATTCGGGTTTTTGGACTGCATTGAGCTCGTCTACCGTCATTTCGTCTTCCGAGGCGGATTCGACGGTGAAGGAGATGTTTGCAACTTTGCTGCGGGGCGCCATCTTGTTGTGGCTTTGGAAATGTTGTGTGTGGTGGGCAAGTCCGTGGCACTGCTTGGGTGTTTGGCGGGATGATGGTGGAGTGGCATGCATGTAAACATGGTCCGAGCGTCGTTCCTAGGCATAGCGCGTTGCTTTGAGCTTTCTGCATGTGACTATGACGGGACTATTGGAAACAACAGTCACATCATGTCATTCATCTTACAAACTATAAAAAAGGCTTTCATTTAATTGACGAGCGTTACTCATCGTCATTATTAGAAACTATATACATATACGCGACATAACCATTCGCATCTCCAGGTCCAGGTATCATTCCAATAATTCATCTCCATAAAACAAAAAACGCCCACAAAAACAGCTTACTCGTAAAATTCGTAAACCTTGTACTCACTTTTCACATTACCTACCGTGAGAATCAAAGCAGGACCCGTCTAGCGTCCAACGCTGCTGCCACCCCAGTTGCTAGGCGTCATGCTACTAAGCTTGCTTGAGATTGTACTGCCCGAAAACCAGCTGGATGACACGCCGCCACCGAAACCAAACTTCCACCACTTGTTCCTGCCATACTTCCTGCCACCACCAAGACCGGTTCTATTGCTCTTCTTGTCGTCAATCTTGTCCTGCCACTTGAGCTTCGTCTCCATGATGGCATGGATCGAGTTGATGATGAGGAAAGTGGTGGATCCAATGGCACGGAAGATGGCGAGAGCAGCGACAGCCCACAAGATGAACGTGAGGTAGAAGTTGTTGGTGACCTTGCGGTTGCCGTAGGCTTCGCTGATGGACATGGCGAGAATGGCGTTGGAGATGAGCCAGATGACGACCATGTATGTACGCACGGCGCGGTAGTAATCTTCCTGCTGCTGCGATTCCGAAATCGGGGGCTCGGGTACTTCGACACGGTCACGCAGGTTACGAAGCGCTTCATCGTAGCCACTGTCAATGTCGAGTTGCTCGGATGGCATCTCGAGTTCGACCACGTTCTTTGTCTTTGCGCGGGCGTCTCCAAGATCCGTCTTTGCCACGTTGTCACCCTTGGTTCCCCATGTAATGTCGTGCGTGTTGCAGAAAGCGTACACTTGGAGCGTTGCAATGTACGAAGGCAGGAGAGCAAAGTATTGCGCGCTCGAAGTAAACATGTGCCAGGGATCCAGATACATGAACGACATGAGAAAGTAGAGTCCAGTAGTGGTTGCCGTTGAGATGATGAGATTGGTAAAAGTGTTTGAGCCTATCGTCTTCTCGGCTTTCGGGTCTTTCAGCTGAACAATGACGATGTAAAAGGAAGCAAAGGTCGTGTATGCCATGATGATGCCATACATGACCATACTCCAGAAGAACATCTTCTTTGCACCCTGAGGTCGGTTACCCATAGACAGGATAAACTGCATGCAGATGAGTAGCGTGCATGTATATCGCAAGATGTAGAAGATGTATTTGCCAACGTTGTGTCCGAATGGGTCCATTTCCGGGTCAGCGAGGGAGCCAGCGACGAAGTAGAAGGTAAGGTAGAAGTTGGCCAGGGAGAAGAAGGTGAATAGCAGTTGAACGAACTGATAGACAAACTCGATGTGGAGGAGGATCTTGCGCCAGATAGTGTGGTCAGTGGCCCACACCTGCTTCCAGTGAAGCAGCGAGTACACAGCAGCAAAGAAGGCACCATTCAGCCAGCGACGACGCTGGGAAATGAACTCGGGAACCGCGTCTGCAAACACATTAGTAAATGGTCCTACAAGAGCAATGAGTAATCATCTTACCTGGCACATCCGTCTCTCCAGTGGCCGCCTTGACGTACTTCAGAACCCATTGCTCGCTTCGCTTTGCCACAAGCTCCCAACACAGAATACGATCCTCAGCCAAGTACATGTTGGCCGTGAACACGTCTGCATCTTGGCCATGAAGTGTTTCTCCCTTGAAGTACTGGCTGAGGGGTCCATGTCCAGTGTGGTCGTTCTGCAACGCGTGATAGCGATATGCTGACAGTGCACCTGGCAACACAGTAATGTAGCCAAAGACCGACTCCAATGGCTTGTCAAGAATGTTGGACATCTTGTACTCGAAGTTTTGCGATGCAACCAGCGGATTGAGAAGACCGAGCCAGGCTTTGCCCTTGCCAGCTTTGATCTCACCAGCTGCTCCGGCGACCGAAGAGTCGGTGTCAAAGGCCTTCCATAAGTGGTACAGCGCTTTGGGACCTGGCTTGGTTCCGACATCGAGCAAAATGCAAATATTGGGGTTGAGCGCGCGCCCAAAGGCATTGAAGAACCAGCGATGCGAGTTCAGTTTCTTGGAATTTCGTTCCTTCAAGCAAAAGATCATTTGACATGGCACAATACCCTTCTCAGCACCCTTGAACTTGAGATCAGAATCCAGAGAGACTTGGGTCGTGTATTCGTAGACGTGGGCTGTGACTTCCTTCTGGTTGACGTGGTTCTTCGCAATACCCTCCTGGAAGCAGCCCATGGCAGCAATGGCGTCCAGCGTTCGAGGGTGAACCTTTCCACGACCATCCGCAATGATGCACACGACAATCTTCTGCCATCCGTCCTTGCCCCAAGTTCTGGATTTCATGCGAGAACAGAAGTGGCTAATGTTCTGCATGACACCGTGCATGGTACGGGTAAAGTCGATTTCGTTCTCGTTGTACATAGTAATGGCGATGAAGACCTCTGTCTCACGCGGGTTGCCAATGTTCTGGCGTAGTTTGTAGCCACGGTCCACAAAGTCGTCGGGGTCACAAGTAACGGCTGTATATCGCATGTGCGTAAACTCAATGTCGTCTCGTCGCGGAAGGAAACTGTAGAGAATGGTGGGGATCTTGCACTCGAGAATGAGTTCACCGTTGATCAGGCGAACTTCCTTCTTCGTCATGACTGCATCTCGCGCACCACGTCGGGCCTGCGCACCATCTGGAGCGGGTCCGTAATGCTCCGCCTTCTCGTCTACTTCAGTGTAGACATCTGTATACGTGTCGTCGGTCAAATAAGAGTCTCGCGAGCGCAACTCTGGCCGGTCATCGCCCATCTCGGTGAATGGGTCATCGTCGTCATACATGGGTATCGAGCGCATATCGCTCATATCCATGGTGCGCTCCGAATCGCGGGAACCAGGCCTTCCGCCAGCAGTGAACAGGGGCTGGGGTGGCAATGGCCGCTGAGGACTGCCTGGTCGCGGACTGCCATGGAGGTCGTATGGCTCGTAGGAATTTACTGAAGCAGGCGGTCGCGAGTAGTCGACTGATGTGCGCGTGGGTGAATACGGTCGATCTGGCGATATTGACCGTCGGTAGGGGACGTAGTCGTCGTCAACTGGAGGGGGCATGTTCGGGGCATTGTCCATTAGTGATGGTGTCCTCGACAGGCTAGATACTGAAGATGGTGATGGGTGGTACATGCGCGATGTTGGCTGGGGTTGTCTGTGAGAATGATGCATCGGTAAGTCTGGGTCTTGCAATGGTGTTGTTTTTGAAGGCGACATCCAGCCGATGGCTTGTTGTCTGAATGATTTTCTGCTTGCTGAGTTGGTTTGCGCTGACGCCGCACTCCCAGTTGCATTGAGCGCATTGCCAGCCTCACGCAAGAAGTCGTGGATTTCGGCCTCGGCCTCCCTCTGCTTGCCCGCCTCAGAGGGCGTCATGCGTGCGCCCAGGGCGGCAGCGGTGCTATTTGCGGACGACATGTTTGAAGTGTCCTCGAAGGAGCGTCTTCTGGTACAGGAATGAGATTGAGTCCACAAACGTGGGACGCAAGTGAGGGTGAAAGTGAAGAAACAAAGAAAACTAATACTCACGACACATAGCTCTGGCTATCGTCTACGTTTGTCAACAAACGCATGGTTGGGCCTCCTTGGAGCTGAGGGGAGCCGTCTTCATCGTCATATGCAGGTGGCCGTCCATAGTGTGCACCACCTGGGGTGGTGGGTCCGTTCATGATATGTCGGTGAGTCGTGAAAAAAGGAAAAGAGAGCCCAAATGTGGTAGAAGCGTCGTGCTCTCTCTCTAGTGTCACTCAAAGAGCGATTGCGACGTCGGGAATGCTAAATTAATGTTTCTGGGGAATCGATGCAGTCGCTGGTCTCTAGAGTTAATGCGAGGCGGCACATCCGGCGGTGTTGTTTCTTCCACGGTTGTCGTGCCAACACTCCGCCCAGCCCTAGAGCCGCCAGGTACGGCCCCCAGACTCGACCCACTTCAGGCTTTAGACCGTTCCACACCAGCATAGCAACCACTATTCGTCCGGAGCCGCGTGGGACGGTGCACGCTGTCGTGGTCAATTGGCTGGGGATTGCCGTCCGTTACACGTTTAGTGGGTGTGTGGTTGTCCTGGGAGACGCCCGATCCGTCACACCGTGTACAATTTAGGGCTGAAGCACGTCATACCGGTCCATGCATATGTGAACAGGGCGTTTGCAGGATACTGCGGCGCTGTTGAGAGACAGTGTGCATTAACGTGCAGAAATCTAGATTTGCTTCTGTCTATGTCCTGAGAATTCCTGCAAAATATGCTTCCACCCCCTCGAAGCCCGCTTCGTCGAGCGTGTCAATGTATCCTACGTACTGGTCTGGTCTAGCGACTACGACACATCCCTTTTCTCTATTCACGCCGTATTTCTTGTATGCATCTGCAAACGCTTCGTAGTAGTTGCCATCATCCACGTACACCGAGTCATAGTCCCATCCAGTCTTGGGATCAAAGGGATGCAGAACATCGGGGAAGTCTCTTAGCAGCTCGACGTCGAGGCGCTTGGATGAGTGCAGGGTGAGCACATCAATGTCCTTGATGAGCCGCGGAGCCAGGAGGGGTGATGATGAGAGGCGCTGGCAGAAGCCCTTGAGGCGAGTACTCTGCTCTTGGTTGACGACATTGCCGGCAAAAACGATGATGCGGAATCGTCCATCGCTCTTTAACTTTTGCTGAAACTCCCATGCCCGACCGTCTGACTGGTTGAGGACCTGGTGGCTCGGGAAACGCATACCTATCTTCGTCTCCGAGGCGAGTTCTTGTTTGCCAATGGCCTGCGTCTTGGACGATACATCTGTTCCATCGCCCTGTTCCGCGGCGTTGCCTGGTTTGCCTACTAACATGCTCGTACCATAATCGACCGAAAGGCCAGAGGCGAATAGACCGCCTGAGTCACATCAGCATATTTTGCGGTTTAGAGATTCGGCACTTACCCTTCAGGAATGCCTGCTTGAACTCGTCCATGCTTACACCCTCCTGATCCATAACATCCTTAGCCGGTCGGCCAGAGAAGAGTCTCGAAAACTTGTGGTCAAATGCGATGAGATCCTGGGCAATTCGTCTCCGCTCAGACTGGTATGTTTTGAGTATACTTGGTTGAGCCACGCCTTTGACTACCAGTCCCAATTTCCAGCCCAGATTGTAGGCGTCTTGCATGGATACGTTCATACCCTGTCCAGCCTTTGGGGAATGCGTGTGAACAGCATCGCCGGCCAGGAAAATGCGGCTGTCACGATCAAAGCTCTTGCCCACTCGTTGGCCAATTTGGTATGCGGTCCACCAGTCGCAGTATTCATATGTCAACTTGTAGGGCGCAATGATTCTTTGTGCCGCTTTGATGATGGTATCGGGTGTTATTTTTGACCTGTCTGCCCGTCCACTGGCATCTGGTTTGATCTCCGTGAGCTGGATGTACAGTCTGGTAAGTTTTTTCTCCCGTGGAATGATCATCATTGAGCCTGAAGATGCGCTGTGTATGGCGCAGCGTTTTCGAACATCGGGAAAGTCTGTGATGGGAATGATATCGAGTACGCCCCAGATATGATCTGTCGGCTCTCCTTCAAGCTCGAAGCCCAGCTGCTTTCGGGTCCAACTGTGTGCGCCGTCACACCCTACAACGTATTTTGCCCTCACAGTCTCCGTGCTACCATCTTTCCGTCTGCTGTTTGCGATTAAATCTTGGGTATCATCCTCTGCCAGGTTGCTCCGGAACAGGCCGTCATTGATGTTGGAGCCCTTGCTCTGAGCGGGCATGGCCTCCTCTTCAGTCAGATACCGCAGCTGCACCGTGATGGGGTAGTTGTCCGGTGAGTGATCATTTACTTGGTCTTGGTCGATATGGAGCGATTCAGGAAGTACTCCACGCTCTACACATAGGGTATCTTTTGAATGTTTCTTGATGTGATCTAGGAAAAATCGTTCGATACGACCCTGGTGGAGGACAATCTCCTTGAATCGGGAGACTCCAGGAACGACATCTGGGACTTGGTCGGAACGACGTATGACACCGTCTTCGCCAGGGTTCTGTATGTGTTAGGGAAGATCGAAAGAAGTGGGTCTGCAAACTTGCCCACATACAAAACTGGGAGGTGGTTAGTCAAGCCAAGTCAAGCCAAGTTGGTGAACGAGTATACCTCTATCAAATGGTTGGCCTCCTTCCACGCTCTGTCGGCGAAACCAAAACTATCAAAGATTTCCAGACTACGCAGCTGCAGCCCATCTGCCTGTCCAGAGTAAATCTTGGTGCCTCGCTTGTCGACTATGCGAGCATTGATGCCACATCTTGCCATCCAGGTAGCAAGCATCATACTAAACAAGGTCAATCACTCACATATGGCAGTTTAAGAGTTAAGTACGTACCCTGCTGGACCAGCACCGATAATTAGACTTGAAAGTTGTTAGCTGTGTTTGAAGATGCACTGAATTCACAGACTGACACATCGCATTTTGACTCTGGTACATCCGAAACTGCCATGGTGAAAGATGACTTTTGTTGATGTGCCTTTGGGTATCTCTGTATTGGTGCAATCAGGTGAGGGATGTTGTGTCGTGTTACCCCGCTCTACTAGTGTATGATGCGCATAAGATTCGACAACGAACAGACTTCAGGGTCACATTCTTAAATAGGTACCCTCGCAAGTTTTTTAATAACCGGGTAGGCACACGGCAGTGGATACCAAGTATATCGGTAGTTTTCACATTCTAAGGACCTGATCGCGACAGGTGCGCGACTACCCCACATGACCCCAAATTTCAACGGAGGCAGAACAGGGCGGATGGCCTATGGAGACTGCTGGAAATTCTGATTCGCATTTTGGTCGTGGAAGTGCGGGTCTGTGACATGGTGCAGGGCCGTATTTGAGGGTTTGTCAAAGCTTTGTCAGGTGTAAATAATAGACCGGTGTGACCAAGGCTGACGACAATCTTACAAACCACCATGAGTATGCTACATATTTGATTTATGTCTGCCCCTCAGAATACAAGTATAATGTGAGAGAAAGGCATGTGCAGTCAGAACACTGGCATTACTTGCCTCTCTTGCTTATGTGCAGAGAAGGTCTATGCTAGCAAGGGAGGATTAACTATCTTATTTGCTATCTTAGTCATCTCATATACGGCCGTACGAAGAGGGAAACCCAATCCGACCTCAGTTTCCTCCGTAGGCATGTCTAAACTTTGGTTCACCGAGAAAAGGTTGAGCCGGAAATTGCACATAACGTAAGCAATGCATGAGGCTGGTGTGATGAAAATTCGTAATTGTAGGTTCAGCTCAATAACTGGACTTGATAAGCTCCAAAGTCATACGAGGTTCAAGCCCTGCTGAGTGACATGCTTCGCAAGCTTGCGTGACCTCAAACGTGTTATCCTCTCATAAGAACAAGACGTGCTACATCCAGGTTGTCGTCCAGATCCTTGTACCGGATGAGGCCATGCACTAGGGTCCAGGAATCTAATAAGCACTCTCAAGAGAGTGCAAAAATGATGTACATATGTAAGTATCGAATCATTTGAGAGCAAGGCAATATGCTAGAGTTAGTGACTGATCAAGTGAAGTTTAAAAGCAACAGGTCCTTCTGTTGAAGTTTGTGTCCTCAAGTGCGAATTTGCCACGAGCATGGCTCACAGAGTGGCTACAAGTCTCTTTGTCCGCATCACAGTCAGAGTGGCGCTTGGCCTCGCAGTAGGTCACATCCAACATACGTTTATCATAATCATTTCCATGAGGAACTGGGGTATCATGCAAAAAGAGAAGGGGAAGAAAGAAAAGTGAGCAGCGCGCAGGACCCGATTCGATATCTGTGTGGCTACAGATATGGATCACAGGTGGAAAGAAACTAGTAGTCGTCGTCGAACTGGGGGGGTTGCAACTTGTCCAAGTACTTGGTCACTTGGGTGAGTCTCAGGTTGATGCTAGAAAGAAGTGGAGTCTGCACTTTAGCGCCGTTTGCTGCAGCCCGCTCGAAGCAAGCATGGGCTTCCTTGAGCTCTCTGCGGGCATTGGAAAAACGCTGGATCTGGGTTGAAATGGGGATGCTGCTGTTTGAGCTGATTCGTGCAGAACATTCAGCATCCCAGTCTTCGTCGATGTCGAGTGTCCCGAGTGCAAGGTCGCTGATCCACAGGGCAATGTTGGCACGTAGTTGGAGAAGACTTGCCTGTCTGTCAAAGGGTGGCGATGCGATGACTTGGTCAAGACGCTCGGCAATCTCGGTGGCCTGGGCCAGCTCGTCTGCACGGATTGCCTCTTCATTTGCGCTAGAGTCATCCGGTCTTATGGAAGTAGCACTGTCAATTGACATGCTCCTCGACGTTACGGATCGGTTTGCAAGTTCGTCCTGCAGCTGCATCTTTGCACGCTTGCTCTTGTCGCGCACCTCGTAGATCCACAGCGAGAACATGGGTGGATAGAAGATGCGCTCGTCGACGGCGTGTGGCTGGGTTTTCCGGGTTGGGTGCTGGACAATGAGACGCTCGTAGTAATTCCGAGCCAGTTCGAAACCCTCTGGGGAGAAGAGGCTAGTTTGACCAGCAGGCTGAGGTCCGTCATGGGAGTCGGAGCGTGACGTTTGCGGGCTGCGTCGAAGAAGAATCTCGGCGCCGACACCCCAGCGGCCATGGTTGCGAGGGTCGACGTGGGTTCCGCCAGCAATTTGAGTGCGTAAGATCATGCCCCAGGCCCGGCTGGCGCGGTCATAGTCTCCCTTGAGCAGACACGAATGCATTAGTGTGGAGAGGTTGTCAAGATGAGACCTTTTGAGGTTGTCGTGGGGGTCGTGGGTCAGAGGGTGTGTGGGAGCGGGGTCTACAGCGTACAGGTGGACAGGTGGGCTGGCCATTTGCTGTTGGATTCTAGTGGACCCATGGGGCTTTTTGAAAGTGCTGGCAGGCGCATGTGGGAAGGGTGGTGGAGGCACGTCGTGTGCGCGGTCGGGCAATAGGCCTGCGACACGCAGTTGGGCTTTTTCCGGGGCGGGCGAGGCGGCGGCGGACGATTGGCCTGGGGTGCGTGGATATGCTTGCGGGGAGGGTGCTGGTGCGGATGGTGCTTCTTCGTCCTGGTCGTGAAAAAGGTCGGAATCAGAGTCGGAGCTGGCGTGGGCGGATGAGTCGGCGGGGTTCCTTTTGGAGGATGCTTTTGCGGGCCTTTGGCAGTGGGCAGCGCGCAGAGAGGCGGGCGCGGTGTGCTGGTCGCGCAGGTGGGTGGTGAAGTACATATTGCATGGGTGTCTGTGGTGGTGGTGGTGTTTGTGTGGCGGTGGTGGTGCCGGGCGGGCGGCGACTGAGGCGGCGGGCGTAGGCGCGGACCCCCTGCGCGGCGACACTGCAGCCAGGTGTAGCACTCTACTAGCAGCAGTCGGGTGCGTGGACGCGGACGAGGCGGTGAGGGTGCGAGCAGGATACGACAGGACAGGATGCGACGGGATAGGACGAGAGGGATGGCAGGCCCAGGAGATTGTCGTTTCTTAGCAGCGTCAAGCTGTCGCGACCTGTTTCATGGCTGGCCCGCCCGAGCAGAGGCAGGCCTGGCGGTTGTGCGCTAAGCCGCTTCGGGAATAGCCGGTCCTGGTGCTGCGCCATACGACGGTGGCCGGTGGCCGTGGCCGGCCTGGCTGGACTGTCCGTCGGTCGGCGTGTCTATCCGTCTGTCCGTCTGTCCGTCTGTCTGTCTGATCATCGTGACGGTCTATCTGCCTCTCCGTCTGTCTGCTGTCTGCGAAGGCCACCCTTCCCATCTCTCCCTCGCCCGATGCCCTCGTACAATGGGCCAGGCACACTCCAGAGGCGCGACTGACGCCCCAACCCGGCCCAGGCGACGCCCGCGCTCGTGGGCGCCTGGCCTGCTTGCCTCGTCCTCGCCCTCGTTGCCGCCCGTCACCGACTTGGACACGACCACCACCCGCCCCGACAACCTCTCCAGAGCCCCCTCACCACCACCCCCGCCAGCTTCCTCCCATGCACGCTTCTCCCGCCGCCTGTCCTCCCACCTGGGCTGGCTTGATGCCCGCAACGAGCCCCCGCCAACGCACCGCGAGCCCCCGCCCTCCCGCTCGCGCTCGCGCTTGCATAGGGCGCGCTCCTCGCTCAGCTCCATGACGGGCCTGCTGCATGCCCGCCCTTCACTGCGCACACGTGACACCGAGCCTACTTTGCCCTCGATGACCCCAGACGCTCCTTCGCGCTCCTCGCCCACCCGTTCAGCCCTCCCGCACGCCGCCACCGATCGAGGACTGGTCCTTCCACGTGTACAGGTCCCGGACCTGGGCTTGGACTTTGACCAGCTGCTCCGCTCAAACTCGCCCATCGACCACCCAGATGCTCACCGTCAGCGCCCGCTGGCTCCTTTGAGTCCGTTGCGGCGCGACGGACGCACCCTAGGCATCATTCCCTCGCAGCGCCGCATACGCAATATGATCGGCCACCAGCGCAGGAGACGCTCGCTGTGGCAGGAGGGCGAGACTATGGACAATGCCCAGCAGTTGCGCCAGGGTGAGGATCAGGCCGATGTGCTATCCAGACTGCTTTCCCTCGCTGCAGCCGCCACCGCAGCCTCGCTCGTGGGTGACGACAACCAGGCTGCCACTCGAGACGGCACTTTTGATACGTTTCTACAGTCGCTTCAAAATGGTAGCATAGCATCGGCATTGCGAGGTAATGAGGATGGTGCTGCCGGTGATACTCCTGGCGCGGGACAGGCGCCGCTCAATTTCTTCCGCATGTTTCGCTTTGGCACGGCTACCGACAGCACACGGAGTGACAACGACGGAAGCCACGGCAGCAGTTCCGCAAACGGTGCTTTGGAAGGCGAAGAAGAAGGTGAAGGCAGGATGGTACCCATAATTATTGTAGGCATCAGGTCTATACAGCCAGGCAGTGGGACAGGACAAGATGACGCCAGCATACCGCCCTTTCTCGATGCCCTTTCCAGCTTTCCCACCCCTCCTACCTCTCCCGGCGACGCAAACATCCTACAGCCACCACAAAACGGCACTCGCTTCAGCCACCGCCGCCGGGCCTCCATGGGCGGCTTCAACTTTTCCTCAAATCACGACGGTCAAAGACACCACCGTGGAAATGCCCAAGAGCGCCCTCGTCCTTGGTCATCACTCACAGACTCGCCCCCGGGACCTCAACCCCCTCCATCGACACCAGCTACCACCATGAATCTGTCGGCCGGCCCCTCGGGTGCCACCACACCAAATACGTCTACCTCGCCTCCATCGCCCATCCTCCAGTCAGCCACGCCCTCTCGGCGAAACAGCTTTGTTCCAAGAGGCGCCGGATCCACTCTAGAGCCGACCGAAGAAGAACCGCAAACACAGCCGCGCAATGCACGACCCCGTCGCCTGAGCGAATCCGACTTTACACGATACGGATCTGGAGCGCCGCGGAGAAGAGGAGTGGTGGAGCCGGACAATAACCCCGGCGAAGGGTCACGGAGTTGGATCATCTATGTGCTGGGCGGCAGCTACCCGGAAAACCACCCCATCCTAACGACGCCCAGCCTCTTTACCGACTCTCCGACGTACGAGGATATGATGCTTCTCTCGTCAATATTAGGACCGGCAAAACCGCCTGTTGCAAGTGAGGAGGACGTGGCTTCGGCACCCGGGTTGCTCAGGATCCGGGCGAATGGCAGTGTGCTAGTAGCCGAGGCAGTCGAGGGCGAGGAGACGATTGTTCTCGTGCCTGGAGCGCGCTGCCTAGTTTGCCTATGTGACTTTGAAGCGGATGAAGAGGCACGCAAGCTCATCAAGTGCGAACACATGTTTCACAAGATATGCATTGACCAGGTATGTTGACACGGATATATCCCTTTGATGTGTGGGAATACAAGATGACTAATGTGTTGTATAGTGGCTGACTACAGGACGCAACTCGTGCCCTCTATGCCGCGGCGAGGGAGTCCACGAGACGGGCAAGGAGGGTGATGTCGAGCCCAGTGCTACTCCTTCATCTTCTTCATCATCATCATCATCATCATCTTCTCCTCCCTCTCCTCCACCGTCGTTACCGCAAGCAGCTGTATGATGGGCCAAAAGATTCGTTCGTCTAGAGTATAACTTGCCCGAAATTGTGCTCCTTCTTTCTCTTCCTCATGATACACACACACAGAGAGAGAGAGTGCATGATTGCTCAGATTCTTGATATATACCCCCTTTTTTCCATTTTCCTCCTCTCCTTTCCTCATCTCTCTGTCTCTATCTATCACCATCTGTTTCTTCCCTTTTCTATTAAACGGGGCCTTGTCTCTATTTTGTCCAACATCTATGTTTCGTCACAGTTGTGGGGGTTGGATGGGATGTGAGACATGAAATTTCTTTTTTTTTCTCCTCCACTTGCAAATTTTTCCTGTCAGGGTTTCATATACGTTGGAGTGTCATCTCTTTCTGTTCTTTTCTCTTTTCTCTCCTCGTCATCCTGACATATACGGGCGAAAAGCAATGAATGGAGTCTCTCTACCATTTTTTCTTTTTTTGCATGCGAATTTTTTTCCGGAAAAATCTTGATTCTTGTTGTTCGGCATTTTCTGGCATCATGGATGGGCGTAGCATCTAACCGTATAGTCAAAGGGGAAATATATGGCGTGTGTGTATGTAACTTTTTTGTCATCTCTCTTTTTTTGGATTGTCTTTTCAGGGAAATACGCAGCGAGGTGTGGTGGTGGGAGGAAAGAGGAGAGAAGAAAGAGAGAACAGTGTGCGTGTGTACGGTGAGACATTTTCAAGCATGTGAAACGAATTTCCTTGCAAAGTTTCTGATTTGCAACCTTGACGTAGCAACGGCCGGTGGGAGTGCGAGTAGCGAAGAAATATCGGAAAAGTCCAGCACAAAAGGATTCGAAAGGAGCGAGTGGTGGGGAGTTGATGTGTTGTTGTTTTTCCCATAGTTAATGACTAGACTTGCCTATTGTTTTGTGCCATTTTACATGCCCTCTACCTTTCTCTCTCTCTCTCTCTCTCTCTTTCTCTCTCTATTTACTATTTATTACTCCGACATTGAAATTTGACAGCACACCCTTTCAAAGGTACTAACAACGACATGTCACTCCCTTGAACTCAAACCCACCTTAGTCCTCACAAGTGCCTCGACCACGGGACAAACGGACTACACATTCATCCGTTCGTTTATTCCTCTTTTTTTTCGTCCCTCTTCCTCATTAAAAACACAACCGTTAGTTCGACCCTTTCTCAATCTCCTTCTCCGTTTCTGTCCCCGCGGAGCAAATTAGCACACACACACACGTGATCTATATTGTGATTTTGTAATTTGAAATATTCCGCTACAGAAACCAGGGGGGGGGGGGTTAAGGCATGAAAAGGGTTAAAGATGGCAAGTAATGTCAAATAGTTAGGTATCAGGTTGGGATATGAAAGGGAAATGGTACGATGGTGATGGTGACGATGATGATGCTGACAATCGAGGTATAGTATGCATGTGGTTGCAGGGGACGGGGGGCATGACGTGGGGGTTTTTTTTGGTGGGGTTGGGTTGGGTTGGCGGAGGGAGGGTTTGCTGGTGATCGGGACAAGGACAGGGCAGGGTTGGAATTCTGCGTTAGTCGGTGACTCGCTGGTTTTTTTTGCACCAACCAAGACGCGGCTGCGTGTAGATTGGACTAGGAGGCATAACTATCGGTATGTAGTGTGTAGTGTTTGATATTAAAGCTGATGGTATAGAAATTACCCTAGGCAGCGAAGATCTTTTTGATTTCGCTTGGCTTGCGCGCACCAAGTGTGCAGCTGAATGGGCTTTGCTTGCACTTGCTTGCTTGACCTGCCCTGACCTGTCCTGTCTGTCGTGCGTGCGTGCGTGCCTGATAATGTATAGTAGTGATTATATTACAATATCAGAGCCGTCATTCGCTGGCCGGGTTTACTTGCGGCTTTTTTGGACAATTGTTTTTCCCTGGTTTCTTGGCAAAAGAGACAGGCCTGTGTGTCGATATAGCAAAAGATACGTATACGAGTACGGTTTACTTGATTCAGGGCTAGTGAGAGGGTTGAAGTTTAATCTCCACTTTTTGTGATAACATGGACATATCATTCTATAAATATAAGTAGTATAACTAGTATATTCACATTCCATATGTATATCATTATCTATCTGTACTACAAAGGCACGGTCAGGACATATTTGGGCCGTGTCGGAAATTGCAAAAGGCTGGTTTGGGAATCAAGGACGTCAACAGAGAGAGGGGGGCGATCCCATTGTCAATAGCAAAGGATTTTATGGCGAGGTTCCAGGAGTGTGCGCTCTGGATTGCAAGCAGCAGCAGGAAAAAAAGGCCTGGCCAAAGAGAGCCGCCATGTGGACATTTTGTCGGGGCTCTAGCCAGTTAGTCTATTCGCAGAGACGGTCCGCGGACGGCGACTTGGGTGAGTGAGACAAAGTGGAGAAGGGTCGATAGTGGCCATGGCACGGCAGATGGAGTATGACGTTTGGTGCCCTGGGCAGCAGACATGTGACGGGCAAGTCTTGGAGTGCAGGACAACAGAAGGGGTCCTGCATGTGTCCCCAAACGTCGCACGATGTTGTTTTTTCTCGGTGGTGGCTTTGCTTGTTTGTGAACCGGTGTAGGGAAGAATGTGTGTGATGTTGTGAGTAATGCAGGTCCAAGCGCTTGGAGAGAGGAAGGCACGGAGGGCAAGAAGGGCTGACCCTGTCGACGACACGTGGGGCTGACTGTGCCGTAGCCGCGGAATTGGACTGTTCCGACTTGTAACTAACTAACTATTCCATCACACACCATTCATTTCATTCACACTACTACTTTCTCACACACACACACACACACCGACAGTGACGCGCTTTATGTGGCGAAGCCATGCGCCCGCCTCATGTGCCGTAGCAACAGCACCAGCAGGCTTCCAAGCTGGACCGGCCGGCCGCTCGGTCGCTGGGGTCATGCAAGATGGGCACCATCAGCACAGGGTGCTTGTCGAGCCCGTCAGACGCTGCACACTGACTGCATGCTGCAAATGACAATGCCGTGTCCATGATGCGTGGCGCACGGCACTCGACCACTCAGGGGGCAGCCGGAGCAGCCATTGCAGCATCCGCTGCTCGCCCGCATCCGGCCTAGCGCTAAAACGTGACATAGACGTCTGCTCTCTCTTTCTGCCTATCTGCCTGTCGCTCTTTGTCCCTTGTTGGTAATCAGCCAGACCAGGCCCATGACGATATCTCACCCTAGCCTCCCCATGGTCTGACGACACTAACTAAGTATACTCTACGACCGATATACTCTATTCACGCTGCTCTGCTCCAGAGAATCTACTCGACTCGGCGCTGGCCTGCCGTGCAAATTGCACTAGGCGCACCAGAGTGGGCAACTCGGAATCCTCTTCATCATGCCACTTGGTTCCCGCCGCATGCCTACATACACGTACATATGTACATACTACGGCTCTTCTACACAAGTACACACATACCAAGTATCCCACCCGCACCAGTTTCCAGTCTGACGGCCGTCACGGGACTGGGTTCCGGACTAGAGTTTACGTCCATGTAACCATGTATGTAATCATCATGTACGTACAGTATGTGATAGTAGAAGCGTTGCGAGTGGCTAGAAGTTGGCAATGCTGTCACCTTCTCGAAGCAGCCCTCCTTCTCCCGCGCGCGCGCGCCCTGGTTGAGTCAGGCAGGCCCGGTGGCTCCAATATCCACCCGTCTTTTTATAACCACGCACATTGATGAGGCTTGAAAGTCTAAAGGCCGTCCGTCGGGCAATTGCTCTGCACTGCATCGGCCCAATCCCCACTTCAGGCTAGCAGTGGGGGGGTCCACGCCAAAAAGAAAGGGCCCATGGCATGCATCCTTAGTAACCACTTACTTACCTCCATGTACCATGCCTGTCCATACCTAACCACAGCCTTACCTACTAGTATACATACGGTTTATACGTACTTACATATGTACATGTCTGCATCTCGACTTACATACATACCCAGTCCATGTCCATCCATCCACACGCACGCACTGTGACGACAACTTCGACCTGCAGCACGCGTCGCAATCGCCGCGACGCCACTCACCCACGGCTGACTTGGGCAACGGATGTGGGAGGGAGCAGCTGGTAGAGGGAGCCCTTTTGGTGCAGGCCCCACCATGCCGCCCTCACCACCCTGATGGTGGATTTGGAACTTGGGGCTGGCGCATATCATGTCCGCCTTGGTGCTGTGTCGTACCCTTGGCACGATCCGTCTGCTGCAAAGGCGATCCTCGACCCTCTTAGATTTGCAATTGCTCCATAGCTCCTCGCTCCATGGCTCCATGGCTTGATTACCCACCGCCCCGCCCATAGTACTCTAGCAGCAGCCAGCAGCCGTCACAGCAGCCGTAGCAACAGCGGCGCGCTGCACGCCTAACAAAAATGCCCTGCTCTAGCCGTAGTCCATAGGCTGACAGGCGGGGATCACCATCGGGGATGTGTCAAAATGGGCCGTATCTGATGAACTGCACTTAGATACTCGCTCGTACATGGGCCTACTTTATTGCTCGGAGCGGGCAGACCCCTTGGCTGCTCCGTTGGCGGTTGCCCTGCTCTTCCTTGCCCTCCCCTGCCCCCCCTCTCCCCAGACTTGAGGTGGCTGCTGTCGGTGGGTGGACCTGTTCGCACGGCCTGGGAGTGGCCCAGAGCGATCAGTCCTGGGATTCCAGCGCTGCGCGGAAAGCGGAAGCGTTTGCGTGCACGGCCCATAGCGGCCTGGAGACAGCGCAGTGGGCTTAGGGCTTGCTTTTTCCCCTTCACTGCACCCCGGCTTCTTAGATGCGGACGTTTGATGAACCTCAGACTATCCCTTCCTGGACATACACCATTGCTTCTTCCCAGGACTAGGCACACGCCTCTGCTCTCGCTCGGGCCGGCTCTCTGGTCTGCCTGTCTCTCTGTCCACCGACCTCGCCCTCTTCGCTCTAGCTCCGACCTCTCTGTCTCTTTTTTCCCCAATCTCTCATACCATCTTTCTCGGTTTATCGCTCTTGCACAACCTTGAACCTGCGCCCCCTGCTGTGCTTCCTCTCTACCAACACTCATCACTTCCTCCCCCTGTTTCTTCCTCCCACCCTCCCCTCGCCGGCCCCCCCCCCTTTTTTCTGGTTCTAGATCGGTGCTGCATATGCCTCCGTCGCCAGCTTTCTCTGGTGTCGCGCAGTCTACCTGGTCCCGTGTGTGGCCATCACTCAGGGTTACCGGAGACGTAGTTGAACCGCCTGTCCTAGCTGCTAGCTGGGGGCCTGCACCCGCGCGCCCAAACCAGCCTGCATTAGACTAACCCACGGCTCCGGCAAGCCTGCTCCTACTTCTATATCCTTTCACTTTCCCGTACCTGACGCCCGAGCCATTGTCACACCCGTTAACACGGCGATCGACCTCGGACCCTTGCACCTGAATGACGTGGGTCCTCTTCCTGCAACCACTATCCTCACCAGTCTTCCATCATTGCCACCACTTTCTCTTGCCCTCTCCCTGACTGCGCGGTCTCTCCCCCCTCGTCCCTCACAAGACATGTCTGGATACTACCCCCCGCCAGGCCACAGCATCCCGCCCCAATACTACAACATCGACCAAAACTCGATCCCCAACAATAACAACAACGGTAATAGCAACAACAATAACATTCAGCATGCCCCGCAGACGGTGATCGGACATGGCTCCTATCCCATGGCCATGCCAGACAACCCCTTCCAGCCAGGAGCTTCCGGTCCTTTCATGCAATACGAAAACATTGGCCAGCCCAGTTATCCTGATCAATATGATGATGCATCTGGCCCCATCGGCTCAGTCCATGCCGCCAACAGTCGCGCGCGTCGCCGACCGGCGCCTGGCGAGCAAGTAAAGCACCGCAGAACACGGAGCGGATGCTTTACCTGCAGGCAGCGGAGAGTCAAGGTATGTGGCTTTCTCTCTACTTGCACCAAATGGCCAGCGCGATTAACATGTAGCAGTGTGACGAAAACCATCCCGTCTGCGAGAGTGAGTGCTTGCTTCTGCCTCTGACTCGTTGAAACAGGGCTTGATTTCTGACAGTGTTCACCAGGGTGTCACAAGGGAGGTCGCGAATGCATCTATCCCGACTCACAATCCAGTCAGAAATCTACCCGCAGCGGCTCCAAATCTGCAAAGTCTTCCTCTGCCGACAACATCTCGTCACCCGAGGACCGTGAAGAAGATGCCAAAGAACGTCTGCCTTCCATAAGGGATGAAGATGAGGAAGAAGACTACGTCGACTATGACGACGACGATACGTCAAGAAGCCAAGACAACCGCGACTCGTCTTACACCCCTGGCTCGAACCTCGACCAGAGTGTCTCCCCATCGACCGAGGCCTCATCTACTGTCCCGCCCATTGTACGGCCATCACTGTCCCGGAAAGGAAGTGCGCAACCCGCGAAGCCCGCCCAGGGCTCGACCCAAGACCTCCAGTTCTATCTCAACTACTTCCGCAACCACATGAGTGTCCATCACTACTCGCTCAAGCGCGACACACGTGGCTGGCTCAAAGGCGATTTTATGCATTGGGTTATGAGATTTGAGCCTCTCAAATATGCCGTTGCGGGATATGCTGCATATTTCCATACCCTATCCCAGCCTGACGGTCGCATATCGACGTTCCTTCAGTTCTATAATGAGTCGGTCTCGCGCTTGCGCATGGCAATTGAGAAGAACAAGAAGCAGGGTCTTGCTACTTTCTTGACCATATTGCAGCTGGCAAGCATAGAGGTAAGGCCAGCATCTTCGGACTGATGTTACTCTTCTAATAGGATACTAGGAAATGCTTGGTGACTGGGTCAATCTCATGGGCCACCAGAAAGCTGCATTTGACATGCTCACACGCCTCTTTACACCACAGAGCATCACAAAGTCGGATTTCCTGTCCAAGGTACTTCTTTGGTACATTCGATTCGATCTATTCGTTGGCTTCCAATCGGGCGGAGAGGCAACATTAGGCCGGGAATGGTACGAGGCTGCCCACGAATCATACGTTCAAAAAGTCAAAGAAAGCCCAGACGACCTGGGGATGCAATACGAAGAGCGCTTTGCGTATTCCCGGCTGGTAGCAAAGGACTCGAACGATCTTTTCGCAAGGACCAGTAAAGGACTGGTCAGTCCTCAAGAATTCATGGCTCAATTGCCCGCGCTTCAAGAAAGAATGGAATCCTTGCCGAAAAGCATTCCCCAGGTTTTGCTAGATCCAAGTCACAAGGTTCATAGCATCCCTGGAACCCCAGATTCCGACGACATCACCAATCCTTACGAACCAGACATCATTTGGGGTGGGCCATTGTGGACGACAAATTTCTTATTCATGGACATATGGGGCCTCCAGTTCATGTACGCCATATCGTCGTCGATGGCGTTGAAGCAGCCCATAGATCCCGAGTACAATAAATTGGCGTATCAGGCAGTACAGATGTTTGAGGCCATGTGCGCCTATCCAGACGCTCCTCCAGGCGCCCTACTAGAGGCTCAAGTCAGCTTTGCAATTGCCGTCTTGTTTCTGCCCAAGGACCAAAAGACCATGCAGTGGATTCGTCGGGCGTTTACCAAGATTGAAGCATCAGGGTAAGCACAACCTGCCCCTCGAGAGGTCAGGACTTGTTGGTTCCTGCAAGGTAGTCTGGGTGCGTGATTCATTATGCTTACATGGCTCTAGATACATCTACTCTGACGTTCTCCGTAACCGTATGCTTGAATCCATGGGGGCCCCGCCATCAGATTGGTGGCTCCCTGACGACGAAGGGTGCCCCCCTATCATTCGCTCAATCAAGGACTTTATCAAGGACCGCACACAGGCGCCAAAAGATCAAGTCTCCGAGGACTTGCGCGAGATGCGCGGCATTTTCAATTCGCTCACCATATCCGACTCGCCGACGTCTGACAACATGACGGTCACGAGTACCGACGGCTTGGGCTCTGCATACGGTTCTCCAGATTGGCATTCGGGCTACGGAAGTGATCGGAAGTCGTCCATCGCGGAGAGTTACTCGCCTGTTGTACCAAGGCAATACTCTGTACAGTAACGTGGCTTACTCGCATGAAGCTACCTGCGCTATGAAGACGCTTGCAATGAAGTAATTGGGAGGCGCATGTTTTGTTGGTACCAAAAGACGCTTATCGGTCTGCCCATGTCTCTTGATGCAGCGCCTGTGTATATCGCAATAAAGGACATGTTCTACCTGAAACACTCTACTCTTCTGGTCTTTCCGGAGTTGTACCGCCGGTGATGTCTCCCGAGAGGCGTCCTGTCACACACTGACTGGCAAGTGCAACTGGGCTGACGTGGGCGAGACGCAATGGCTTGCCTTGGTATCACATCTCAGGGCCACGATCCCCCGGGGAGCTCACTACAGAAAAGAAAGAATGGAGCGAAAGCGGGGTCCACTTATGCGGTGTGACTGCTGCAGGTCATGCTGGGGCGCACGTTAGTTTTAACATCGGACGGCGATCGGGTGTTGGAGGTTCCCTACCTACTAGATTGCGAGTACGGAGAGGCCAAGCACCATGTACATGCATGGGCATGAGCATAGAAAGTTCATTCATAGGCATGAGGAGGATAATTCGCGCGGTGGATGGCAGTGTGCGCAGAATCCGGTTGCAAGGCTTAAGATACCTCCACATGTGGTCGCCGTTTATGGAACACGAAGGGTTGTGAGGCATTTGCACGGCATCAGTAACCGTGAACAATCAAAAGTGTATTGACAAAGGATTCAAAGTCACAAGCTTGCACGTGATAGTTACTAATGACCCATGGCTTTGTGTTTCTAGTAATCAAGGACATTGTTCATGGCGCAATTTCTCCTCCCTCTTACATGGCACCGCATCCAGCTGCAGAGTGTTGATTGGAACTGCTTTTGGTCAGCAATGCAGTTTCAGACATTTGCATGCAGTCTACATGACTCCTGTATCACTCCCTGCTATAGGGTAGTGGTGGTGAGACAACCAGTGGGGCCAAATATGTACACGTTTCCCCTGTGGCGTGCTGATCTTTTATCGATGTGTCTTTTTTTTGAACAAGGCATCTTTTAGCGGAACTCACAATAGCATCCCATGCTGAGTAGGGGATGGAGTTTTTTTTTAATGAATCATATACTTACAGCACGATAGCCGAGTATTACTTTTGTGAGAATTGTACCAAGACGAGAATGAATACTTTTCCAGATTCTCTGTCTGAAATTGTACGCATCTCAACCCATGTATCGAGCAAAAACACCTGCATTGTATAATACTTGTCCAGGCAAAGGGTTGATATAGTCCCAAACAGGACTAGTGCAATGCAGGGCTCATGCGCCGCCCTGACAGCAACGGCGGCGGAGAACACATGAAAGTCGTAAGAGCACGACAACAGCCACGCCCCGCCCTCGACAACAACCACGAGCAGAGTCTTGATACACCGTAACCCCGCTACACCGCAATGGAAAACCTTGGCAAGATTTCGGCGTTCGGAAAGAACATTTCGTACGTACAGCCCCGCGCCCCCCTCGCCGCTTACTTGCACCCCGGCACCAGATAGGAACACTTGGACTGACACGGTTGCTACAGCGCTACCTTTACCCCCTGGGCTGCCCGAACACAGCAATATGTCAAGGAGCAGGTTGGCAATGTCGAGGACAAGGTGCGCAGCCTCCCGATTGAGTCCCTGTGCTATCTCACGAGGGCATCCACGCCGTTAGCAAGTGCACCATTAACACGGTTCATGACAGACTCAACTGCCTCCGGACTACATTGAGCTCGAGAAGCGAGTCGATGCGCTAAAAAAGGTCCACACGACTATGCTCCAGGTTACGTACGACGCTCCGTATCCCGCCTAAAAATCATATCCTGACTGCCTAGTTCACAATACGCAAACGAAGCCTATGACTACCCAGCCAACATCCGCGAGTCCTTCAACGACCTCGGCCGAACCGTCGCAGAGAAGGTCAATCTACTCTCGAGCGCCACCTCCCCCGCCGAAGCCCAGGCGGCTCTTACTGCCCCTCCCTCCGCAAAGCCCCAGCCCAAGACTTTCAGCCATGCTGTTGCCCGCGCCGCCCTGAATGCCTCGCACATGCTCACCTCTGAGCAAACATCTTCAGGCGAGGACCCGCTCGCTACTGCCCTTGAGAAGTACGCCATTGCCAGCGAAAAGGTTGGCGAGGCACGTCTGGCGCAGGACGCTCAGATTCAGAGCCGCTTCTTGGCTGGGTGGAGTACCACGCTCAACACCAACATTCAGTTTGCCACACGCGCTCGCAAGGCTGTCGAAAACTCGCGATTGACACTTGATGCGACCAAGGCCAATGCCAGGGGACCTGCTTTTACGCTCCCTGGTCAACCCGCCAAGAAGGACAACCTAGATGACGACTTGACTGAGGAGGCAAGAGCAAAGATTGAGCAGGCCGAGGACGAGTTTGTTGGCCAGACTGAGGAGGCTGTTGGTGTCATGAAAAACGTACGTTGTGAATCATTTTGGTCTAAGATACTTATGCTGACTTTTCTCTCTTTCTTCTACAAGGTCCTCGATACCCCAGAACCACTCCGCAACCTTGCTGACCTCATTGCTGCCCAACTCGAGTACCACAAGAAGGCATACGAGATTCTGTCTGAGCTGGCACCTGTTGTTGAGCAACTGCAGGTTGAACAGGAGGTGCGTAGACACCAGTCGTCTGACTTTTAGGTCCCCCTAGCTGATGCGTTGTGGTGATTAGGCCAGCTACCGTCGGGCTCGTGAGGAGTTGTAAAGTGGTGTTGATGTAGGGGGTGTTGGTGAGATTAGGGAGGGTATGGAAATGGGAGAATGGATAGATACAGTGTCATGAAGGGAGATTGTCTCGGTATTGGCTTTTGTCCAGAGCAGGATCTCCTTACCAAACAGAGTATAGTCTAGTCTAGTCTTGGGATGAACGAGCAGTTCGTATTATGACTTGAAAAGTTTTATCCTCTTCGATTTTTACTAATTTTTTTTTTACGTCGTGCCTCTACTCAATAACCCCACTCTCATCCCTAAACTCAGCAGCCTGCCTCTTAGCATACTCGCCCATCACCCCTTCCTCCTTTCCCCCATCATCCTCCGGAATAAACCCCCTCATAACCCCGCTAACATACTCCTCCGGCACCCCACACGCAACCGCATCTTCTATCCCCCGATTCATCCTATACACGTACTCCTCCCTCGGTCTCCCCGGCGTAACTCTTTTCCGATCGATATACACGAGTACACGCTTATCGGTCTCGCTGGGTGGGGTAGTAATGTCGATTTTCGAGGCGGGCGAAGTAGCGGACCAGAATGTGGCGGGCAGGTATTCCTTGGTGTAGGCGAGGGGCACGCCTTCGTTTTTGTCAAGGTGACGTTCGTCGTGGGTGGTGAGGTGGAAGAGGAGGCCGTAGACGTGTGGGGTGGTGTCTGGGGTGGAGGAGGAGGAGGAGGAGGAGCGGGAAGTAGGAGCGGGAGAGGGAGTGGTTTGGGTCTGGGTAGTAGATGAGGAAGGGGAGACTTTGACGATGTTGGCGTAGCCCCGTTCGTTGATGATCCATTTGTAATTGTCCAAGCGGGCGATTCCCTGGTAGGTGGAGGAGGGACAGCGTGTGGACATTTGGTGCAGCCAGAGGTTGGAGCCGTAGCCGAAGTAGAAGGTTGGGGGCGTGGATGAAGACATCTTTCTGGGTGGAGATATTGGGTTGGAGATGGTGATAATCTTTTCTAGTTTAGAAGGTGTTTGAGATACGGAGGTGTTGTTTACTCTTTTTTTTCCCTTGAATTCTCTATTCAAGGATTTTTGGAGTTGTGAGGGGTTGTTTTGTTTAATTGCCTTTTCTTCTCCTTCTTCTATATGAATACTTGATGTTTGTTGAACTCCTGCGATTCGAATGGTTGATGATCGCCACAGTCCCAGGAAACGTGAATGCCTTTTTCTAATAGCAATTGAGATTCCTACACACGAATCCTAGTATGTTCTTATTCTTTGGTAGACTAGATATGACGGCTGTAGTGTATCCTCCGGCTCCAGGACGGATTTCACCAAGCACGCGGGGTGATCTAGCAGAGTCTGATTATGATTAGCCATGGATACGTAGTGCTGGCTCGCAACCTTCTCGTGTACCTTGTAACTTTGAGATTGACTTGTAGTATTTGTACAACTATATTCCGGATACAACACGGTCACGATACATGAATTGATGTGGCGCGGTAGTCAGATACCTCGGGGCGATATCAACCCACATGCCGAACGAAACTGACGAATCGGCGTTGAAGGATTACACCACGCTCCTCTTCGCGACGACCACCACATTCGGGAAGAGACGCGAGACATGGCTAGCAAGTACGCGGCCATTCTGTAAAATACCTATATCATGTCGTCTCTGTCACGTTGAATCATGTTGCGCAGTCTTTAGTCCGGTGGCGTTGATAGGAGAACGCGTCTTGACGCAGCGTCGTCGAGTCACATTACATTTTCCCAACCTAGAAGCTCAACCGCGACACAAACCCAAACATGCCATACTCACATCATAGCCACTCTGGCCAGTTCTGTGGCCATGCAAAGGACACGCTTGAACAGGTCATCCAGGCAGCCATAGCCAAAGGCTTCCATACCTTTGCGCTAACAGAGCATATACCCCGGCCAATCGAAGACTTCTACCCCGGAGAAGCTGAGTCGCACACGGTTGAGAGCCTTGCCAAGCTATTCGACGACTTCATTGTCGAAGCCAACCGGCTGAGGGATAAATACTCGAGCCAGATACAGATCCTGATTGGCTTTGAATCAGAATGGATTCGCCCGTCGACCCTGGAGCTGATTCAGAGCGTCCGCGAAAAATATCCGTTTGACTTTTTCATGGGCTCTGTCCACCATGTCCATACGATACCCATCGACTACGACCGCAAGATGTACGAGCAGGCGAGGGACAAGGCGGGCGGGACAGACGAGAGGTTGTTTGAAGACTATTTCGATTCTCAATTGGAGATGCTGCAGGCGCTGCGACCCCCAGTCGTCGGGCACCTGGACCTCATCCGTCTGCTGAGCGATCACCGCGACGATGGGTTCAAAGGTATGGCTGGTGTTTGGCAAAAGATTGAGCGAAACCTGGAATTCATTGCTTCATATGGCGGTCTGCTCGAACTCAACTCTGCCGGGTTGCGCAAAGGTCTGGCCGAGCCGTATCCGTGCTTGCCAATATGTCAGGTCAGTCACACCGCCATCTGCCCGAGCTCGGCGGCGAGCTGAACTTGAACTGACTTGGGGTCGTTTATAGATGTTCCTTCGCATGCGAGGCGGTTTCGTCATGTCTGACGACAGCCATGGAATCGATCATATTGGCACAAACTATGCGTGGCTTCTTGCCTTCATCCAGACTGTAGGCACTGACCGCATACACTATGTCGAGCGGGCCGAGCAAGGTAAAGGCACTCGCTTCGCCAGCATTGCTCTGACCGACCTGGTGCAGTTGCCATTTTGGGAGAAACCAAACTGAGGTTGGCTTCGTCATGGCCCGACTTTTGGTGCGCCGCTGACGAGGGTTCGCTCTTGTGCTGAACGTTGCGGGTCTTACGACCGGAGCAATAGCCTTGTGGAATATTGTGCAACGGTGGTTTTAGGGTACCTACATTACAAGCAATGCGCAACCTTTTCATTGGACATGTTGGAGATGACAATCGTCGACTCGTATTCTTGCCTGGCTGCAAGTGGTTTAGCACCTGTGCTGTAGCTTGAGTTTGGCCACGTGCTTAATGTTCACGATGCTGCACTCCATATGCGTGGGGGTGATCACTTCTCCACGACTCAGCCGCCACTGCAAGCGCACCTCGTCTAGCCAATATAAAGAGTGGATTGCTCCCGGACCGTATCGTTGGGCTCCCGACTCAGCGCACAGGGCTAAAGATCGTCTTGTCCGAAGGTTACAAGGCGGGCTGAAGAAGGCCATGGCAAAGGCACGGTCAGAAAGACCACGTGTAATGGCTATGGCATTTGCTCTTCAGCCCCACGCCACCCGTGCCTCGTTTTTTTCCTTCAGGGATGTGAATTTCGCGTTTGCCGCGAGAAGCACGATAGGCCGCTGCTCCGCATTTGGCTGTTTTACAACGCCAGACGCTACAAACATGATTGTTCCCCGGGTGGGTCTAGCACCGCACGGCAATCGGCAGTGCTGCCGCTTCTACTGTGATTGGCAAATCTCCAGAGACATGCCACCCGCGAGATGATTAGGGTTTGTTGGGCCCCTTGGCTTCACGGTTTCGACAAAGGGATTTTGGGGCGGCACATGGGGGTAATGCGAACAATGACGATGAGCCATTGTGTTCGCCACTCCAGCCTGCGAGACATGAACGCTGGATTCATGAGGCCATGGGGGGGTTGCATACTTATTGAACTAATCTAGTATACGTAAGTAATACGGCAAGTCGCCCCGTGAAATGGACCGAACATTGCTTTTTAGCAAACGGTCCTGCATTTCCCTAAATCCATGTTAGCCTTGTTCACTCTGAATCTACTAAAATACTACAAGACCGCCAGCTGCCTTCTCGGGCCTCGAGTAGTCAGGGGGACTCGCGCTGGTGCGGGCTCGGCTGCCGAATCACATTCTATACAACTTGCGGTAGTAGCTTATTCGTCAACGACTTAGCCCTACGGCATTTATAGGCGCTTTTCCTTTGCTCAGGTCGTGCGACTTTCTGGAGAGGTACAGTGTCGGCCTTTTTTTTGCGCACATCCCGCCGTTCCTCCATGCGGGATTAAGGTTTTAGAGTCGTGCCGTGCATTCTTTGTGACGAAGGGCGTCTTCGTGGTGACAGTCATCGCACGTCGCGGCCTTTGATAATTGTAGCCTTGCACCCCCACTAAGGTACCCTTTGTCCCCACTCTTACTTCCTTTTGCTCACACCATCCTAATTGGTCACGTTCTCAAGACCATTCCTTATCCCACCACGGCCCAAAAATAATTTTGAATGTCTTGTTTTTTTTCCTTCCGCATGGATGCAGGGTCAGCCGCCGCGTCGCAGGGCAAACAGCGGTGTTGGAAAGTTGTCATGCTGCTCGGTAGTCGCGGGAATTGAGGAACGGGTACAACCATCGACCATGTTAGATGTGGAGCCCACATCGCGTGTCAGCTAGGATGTTGCAGATGACGAACGCATTCAAAGGGCTAGACCAACCTTACAAACTTCTGACATCCAAAACGGCTCGAGCGTCGGGTAGGATTCCCCGGGAGACAGTCAGGTTCTGATGGCGGCTGTGGTTCGTAGCCCACAATTACCTTCGAGCCGAAGCTGTGGAACGGATGCGTATGCGAGGGGGGCTAAAGGAGATGCTGGACGGATCGGAGCAGGCCAATCTATCCCATAGCTGTGCTGCAAACCCCCGGACTGCTTTTTTTCTTGTCAAAGCAAAGACCATTCATTAAGCCTAAGCTTTTTTGCCAAAGCATACACGGAGCATCTTCCTTAAAGCACCACCACACCTTGCGCCTGCTATTAAATCTTCGTCTTGTCCACTTCCTCACGCACTTCTTGTTTTCTACACTCCTCTAGCTCCTTTTTCTATCATATCTAAACTTGACCAACGTTCGACTTTTCGTCCACGCTAGCATCCCGCCCGTTACAACATACTTGCGCCTCCAACGCCACACACGAGCATAGCACATTCTTTCTACACTATGGGTGTCGAGAAGGTTGTTGCCAAACCAGGCAATGGAACAGACTTCCCCAAGAAGCACGACGAGATTTGCGTTGAATACACCGGTATTGCTGCTAGCATTCACAAGTCATTGCCAAAATCTGACCAGGATTGCAGGATGGTTGTACGATGAAGAGGCACCAGACAACAAGGGAACACAGTAAGTAGACTGGCAACGTGTACGCCTTCACATGGACTTGGGGCATCTTGCTAACCAAAATGCTAGATTCGACACATCAGTAGGTCGAGGCGATCTCACGACTCTAATCGGCGCAGGCCGAGTCATCCGAGGTATGCGCCTTGCAATCCTGACCAGCCCGGTCCACACATGCCAAATGGCAAATTGAGGTGTGCACGTCAACTGACTCTAACATGCAGGCTGGGACGAGGGTATCTTGGGGTCCGAGGATATTCCCCCCATGTCGTTGGGTGAGGTAGCAATCCTCAAAATCACATCGTAAGTAGCTTTTGCGGGTACACCACTTGTATATATTTTTACTAACACCATGTGTAATATAGTGATTATGCTTATGGCGCTCGGTAAGTCCGTTTTGTAAACTTCATACTTGATGAGCCCGACCGCGGGATCAAACCGAACGACCGGCCTCCCACGGCCGCTTCTGCGGCCGACACATGTAACGAGGCTCGGAGTCCGGACAAAACTTCAACACTTCGTTTTCTGTGTACCCCAAAATGAACATACCGCTGTAGCCGCCAGCCTGGCATGACTAGGATATCAGTAGCCTCCAATTTCTTGTCTCGGAGCAATATCGCTAACTGTCCTGATCATAGTGGTTTTCCTGGACACATCCCCGCAGATGCAAAATTGATCTTGTAAGCACCTAGTCTTTTTCTTTATCATCTCCAGAAGAGTCTCCGCGCCCCAAACACCTATCTTCGTGGTGTCTGCAACTTGCGTTGTTCGCTTGACCAACGCACAGCTCACCTTCCGTCCCTCTACCCATGTCAACTATTACGGCAGAATTGCTGGGGCACCGAATCAGAAAGACTGACGAAATGACAGTGAAGTTGAACTCAAGTCCATCAACAAGAAAGGGGAATAGATCGCTGGTCTCCTTTCCCCGATACAACGTTTTTACGCCGCCCTTCTTCACACTCTGTTCGACATATACCCCATTACTACCCGACCCATTTTTTCAGCCTATCATTCCTCACCATTGTAACCTTCTGGAACGACTCTAGCGCCTCCCCCATGAGCCCAGTCCTCTTACATCATGTGCTTCGTGGGGGGAAAGAAAAGGAGCTTTTGCGCGCTTTATGCGGCAATCACGGCCAAAGGTTTACTATCTATTTTTTTGTACACGACTATTTACGCAAATATGCCTGATTTCTTGGCCCCCGCTAGGAGTTTGGCGATTGGATAAAAGCAAAGCTCGCCTCGTTCGGCAGGTGTAATGCTAAGCATCCATTGTAGATGGAGGGCTATGCATGCAAACATGGGTTGCCTGCATGTATAGATTTGTTTCCAAGAGCAGCCTAGCGTTCTAGTTCTTGAGCCTGATGAGTTTGTGCATTTACTCACTGCGTAAGGGCCCAACTTTTGCTTCTCATCCTGTATTCTGTTCCTTGCAATATCTTTGGTCGGAATTCTCCTTCTTTGCTTCATTCTAGTATTAGCGCACATGTATAGAGCACGATATATGCGGATGGTTTCCGCTCATAGTCCCATTTCCCCCCCAAAATACCTGTAATCTAATAATGCTAGTACTGTCTCAGACTGTTACTCTCTCTAACCGAAGTCCCTAGTACCCAAAGGCTTACAGCCGGGCCGTGTAGGGAAAAGGACTCAAGGGAACCCGCCCGCCTGGTATGCATGTAGTGTAGGCTACGCCTGACGTCGAAATCTGACAGACGCTGATTCTCGGCTGAAACCAAGGCACCCGATATAATCCCATTACTATAGTGCACACCGACACTCCGTCATCTCGAACCCTCACTGGTCGGGTGCTGCCGAATCTAACCATACAGTCTTACATCGGCATACCGAAGCTTGGCTGAAGGACTCGGGAGCTCACGGGATCCTGTTGGGTGGCGGTAGAGGCGGCTTGCGCATAATCCGGCGGTTGTCCTGTTGTGTAACCGAAGTATTCAACCTTGGCTCAAAATATTATACTCGACTAACGCGGTATTCCCGCAACTTGAAGGGCCGTTCGCCTAGTACCCGTCTGGGCCCCAGAGGTCTAAAGTAGGCTGCCTATTTCATTGTGGCTTGCAGCAAAGCCGCCAGACGAAGAATGCTCCTATTTGCTACTTTTTGCCTGTTGCTGTGCATATTGGGCTCAAGGATAAAGTTTGCTTTTTCTTGGATGACGCTATTTACTTGTGCATCGCGATATCTCATGGAGGATCTGGCATATGTGCCTCTGAGTATCAGCGTCATCATCATCAGTGTTGTTGAATGTGACGCTCGTCTAGACCAACATATGACCCAGATGCATGAAGGAGCTGATGGGGCAGCAAGTAACAATTGGTCCGTTTCAAAAGTGCATTATCAGAGTACTCATTTGCTCACCGGCTGCGGGCCGTTGCCGTTCCATACACCCACATACACACACACTCTCTCTCTATCTTATGACTTTTCCCGTCAGCATCGGGAACGGGGACGGCTCTCTAGTTCTTACATGACTTGCAAAGAAAGGGAACAAGCTCCGACGACAAAAAGTGGAACATGTTACGATATTCCGTTCTATTGCGGACACAACTGCATAGACCACAAGCCTAGAACGTTTCCATTATGCTCGAGTCGACTGGTCTCCGCGCGGGAAGGATCTCCACTGGGGCCAGAAAGTGGGTGAACAGGAGCGTACTGTTACGTAGTCATCCTTGGCCGTCTTGGAAATTTTTGTACCCCATTTGCGAAAATAACCCACCCGCCTAGCACTTTTTTTCAAAAAGGATTGCCAGGCGGTCGATTCGAAATATAAAAAAAAGATTGGGTCAACCTGTTGCTTCTTGCCCGAGTTCTGGACCGAAAAATGTTACTAAAACCGGTGGTATTGGCCCACGCAAGGTGGAGCAAATGCAATGTGACATGCAATTGCGTGCATAGGAAAATACGCACATGGGATAGTAATGGAATAAAAAGAACCCATGTCGATGGCTTTTCCTCGCGCGTCCCCAAGCCAAACTTGAGTTCCACCAGGATGTAGCCACACGTGGTAGGATGGGTCAGGGAAACAAAGTTACAAGGTTACTCTGTGGGAACTTTAATGGTTTGTTCAAAAGAGTGACGTTGGGGCGAGGGTTCGTGCTTTAGTCGAGCCAGGGCAACTTGCATCACACGTCTTGCATGGGTCCTGTACGCATACGCATGCCCCTAGCCCTTCGGGACTTTTATTTTCTGACCTTCTCAATCATGCCGCACTAAGATCTATCTTCTGATCATGCGACTCGATCCCCATCCGCGGCCAAACAAAGGCAAAGCCCACTCCTCCTGTATATACGCCGAAGCTCGTAGATTTTTTCTGGTGGTCACGGCCCAACCTCGTTTATCGATTTTGAAGTAGCGTCGGTCGCATTTCTAACATTACTGGCCGTCGTTGGCCAGTGAGTGTCTACTTGTCTACATGCAGTGGCGCGTATTTGTACCGTTTAATGCGCCGCCACGTACCTGGAGCTGTTCTGCTGGACTAACTATGCGGCCTTGTGGATGGTACAAGAAAAGTAGGAGGTGCTAGATATGGTAGGTCGGTAAGCGCGGTAACAGCCCTCGAGTCAACAACTTTGGTAGACTATCTCAGATGACGGCTCGTATGTATTGAGCTTTGCTAGCGTTGACTCACGACAACATCGTAGACGGAGATCCTCACTCTTCTCTTTTGGTGACGTATGCTCTATGAAGGAACAATCGAGATGGAGAGGAATCTTGTGATGGGGGTCTTCTTTCCAGTTAGTCTCGAATAGTTCTCCAACCGATATGTGGGATTAAATATCGCGTGCTTGACATGCATTAAGCATCTGGAGACTAAAAGTTGATATCGGGAGTCATCAGAATGAGGAAGAGAGACACGTCAGCAATCTGGCGGGTAGGGCGTTGCGACGGACGAGCGGAATGATTGTTTGGTACTTGTTGGGGGCGGATTCGGCGGCTACTGTCTGTTGTGCTTCATCTGTGACACCCCACTACGACAAGCTAAGCATGATATGTCCAACCCACACAGAATCCTGTAGCTGATCTTTCTGGTAGGAAAATGGACAGGTAACAAGCTCATTTCGTATTAATATGACCTGTAAATATACGCTGAAGGGAGAGTCAAATCGCTATGGGCAGCCCTGTAGAACACTTTCAGAGAATCTGATTACTCACAAATTGATCACAATCTGTTCAAGTTGACGTCAGTCTGTTCTAGTACGCGACTTGCCAATCACATGTGAGGGGCTGGCAAGATACTCAATAGCGGATAGAGTTGTTGAATAACATCTGCACAAGACATAATAGGAACAATACCCCTGAACGTCCGGAAGCCGCGAGTTCCCGTCAACGCCACAACGTGGAGATGGAACCTTGATTTTTTCTATTCCAGAACTTACTTCTCATACGAGTAATGTTGGTTGTTTGAGCCACGATGAGCCACAAGCTATACGCAACGATAGGTTCGTGCTTCCATTAGCTTGTTTCAGGCAGTTCACATCAGGTCTCGATTCTGTCATGTTCTAAAGGATATGCTTCTAGATGTGCACGAGTATTCAAGACTGCGTTCGCTCAGGCGTGGAGGTGGGTTCTGGTTGTCACAGGGGTTGTTATTGTGTTTTCTTTCTGCTTTATTGACGATAAAAAAGGCAGCCTTGGGACTGCCTGAGGGTACTCCAAAGATCCAGTATTCTCCATGTTGGCTTTGTTAGAATGAATCAAGAGGTCTAGTTACTTGATAATAGTGTCGAAATTACACCGATGTTCGAGGTTATCGCAAAATGTCGCTTGAGCGACCGTGGAAGGCGTATGTTTGACAGAAGGAAGCCACTAACTCGGCCTGTACTGTACTATACTGTCATTATGTAAGTCTCCAGCATAGCTTGCTTCTTGAGCCAACGCCATGAAAAGACGTTATGCTTGCGCTGTAATACTAGAATATGCTGTTTAGTTTTTATTTAGATTGAGCCATGGCATTGGCGTGCCCCAGACAATCTACTCAAAGATCACCTTTTCTTTGGGCAAAGGTCCACTTGCCTAGAGCTGAATGGTGTTAGCACTAGCGGACGTAGTGCCCCTGACAACGAGCAACTCGTGACCTGGAGGGATACCATTATGCTAAACAATTATGCCATGCACAAATGCGGCCATATCCGACTAGGCGACTCAGGTGTCAAAATCTTCGTGTAAGAAGAAGATTTGCAACGTAAAGATATAGGAAGGGGGTCGTGTGTGTACTTGGCACAGGTAGCTGATCAAAAGTAGTCGAATCGCGAAAAAGGATTGCTAGTGACTGTCACGTGATTGTCAGACGCGTCTGACTGCACATACATATATGTACGTAGGTGCTTTGCAGCATCGAAACTCCCTCGATTATCCCGACAAAAATGAATCAAACTATGCAATAACATAGCTTATTGAAAAGTCCGCCTACAACAGCCGAACATGGATAGTACGCCCGTAAACGAGTCGCGTCGCAGAGATGCTTCCGAAGGTATCACCACACCGGTCGCGCACTTCGCAACGCCACGCTCCTGTCCCTGAGCTATCGTGGCAGTCCCTTTTTCACTCTGACCGCCAAGCGCAACAACTGGGCACTTTGATCATTTGCGATTCTATCAACCTTCTCTTGCGCCTATAGTCTTGGATGGTCTCGGGTTGGTGTGTGCGGGAAATTAAATGCGGGAATTGAGATGGGGCTGGGCGGCGGAAAGTATGGGGTCTGCTGCAATATTGCGACAACAACTGGGGCTTAAATCGTCTTCTGCGATGGACTGCCTTGTTATTATACGTTCTCGACCGGTATTATAACAAGGATTGCGGAGATAGACACACCGACAGGAGCCTGACAGCTGCCGTATGTACAGCATCTTGTCGCATACCGCCTTGCTATCGTCCCATGACTCTGCGTGGATAGCCGATCAAGTCTGGCGCAGCCCCTTTTCGAGTTTCGCGGTGCGGGTGAATGATTCGCTTTGGGCAGTGGCTGAGGCTGCCAAGTGGGTTCATCTCGGAAATGCCTCGAACAGCAACTGAGTTGAATACTGGAAGCCGACCCTTATGCGTTGTGAGCAACTCTCACTCAACAGCCTTAATTATTAGCTAACGTAGCAGCGTGTCTGTGTCTGTCGAGTAAGACATGCCGAAGCTGCTGTGTCTATGGTTCACGCCGGAAATTTCTATAGCTAGTGCAGCCAGACAATGACCTCGATCGGCAAAATCCCTGCGTTAATTGAATCTGCTTTGTGGCTGATCCAATGGGAGGTGGTTGAACGGTCGTAAGTTCAATACCAAGTGCCCTGATGATCTTACATGGTTCAGGTCCGATTGGGCCGTTCCGTGCCCTACTTGGGAAAAATGCGCCTGGGATGCAATGTTGTTCCGTGCTTGTCCTCCGAACTAGCCACGCGTTTGGCACCGTCTAAACAAGCTCACGCTATGGCGACAAGTGGTTCCGTCGCGGGTGATGTTGATAGTGGGCCTGGTCACCACGTATTTACTCATGCACCCCCCAGGACTGAAACTCTTTCTTTACCGTGCCGTTAGCACCTCGTTGCCTACCCACGTTCATTCGCTGAATAACTTCACTCTTTTAGGTGTTCAGCACACATTCATTCGGTCGTTATTGTAGAAGTCTGCATCTGCCCATTCATCCATACACCGGTCGAGTCAATTCACAATGCAGCTCACTACCTTCCTTTCGACGGCTTCAGCCATTATCGCAACCGCTTCTGCAAGGAATGCGATAACCCTCAACCAGGAATGCGATTTGAGTCAACCCCGCGCTCGCATCATCAATCGCTGTGACTACGATGTTCACCTCTGGTCCGTCTTCAAGGGTGATGGTTGCCCCGATAGCCAAATGGTCACGCTAAAGACCGGCGAGACCTATGCGGAGAACTACCACAACTTCACCGACACCAAAGTTGGTGTCTCTATCAAGCTCTCCAAGTCGACAGAATGCAAAGGCAAAGATATCACCCAGCTGGAGTACTACAGGGCATGGGATGATGAAAATGAGGATTTCCGATTCAACTACCTCGACGTTTCTTATGTTGACTGTGGAGGATTGGACTGCCCAGCTAGGAAGGACGGATACTACCTCGTCGCCGGTGACCAAGTCGGCGAATTCAAGGCCTCTGCTACCAACACATGGTGCCCGATCCTCTCCTGCTCCGATGCCGAGTCCTGCGACAAGATGTCTTACGTTCTTCCCGATGACGTCCAGACTAAGACTTGCCAAATCAACGCAAACATGGATTTCTACATGTGTGGCAGCGAGGCACCCACTGAAGACTACGGTTCCGCACCCAAGACCAAGCCAGAGCCCTCCAAGAAGCCAGCCGAGTCTTCTGCAGCACCATCGTCCACTTCCAAGGATAATGGTTACGGAGCCGTCGTTACTCCTTCGCCCACACCCACGCCTTCGCCGTCCGGACCCGGCCTCATCAAGACGGAGGTCGTCTACGTCACTGCATACGTCAACGCTAATAGGCACGAACATGGTCGCCGTCACCAAGTTTTCCACGCATAAATTCACGCGCTTTTGAATATTTGGCGGCAAAGCCCTGATCGGCCAGTTCAGTTGTATCATCGTACGACCTTCATAATTAAGAATACCTACTTCGCGACATCTTGGGACAAGTAAACAGGAGAAGAAATAAAGTCTAATTCAACTCGAGTATCAACGGAAGAAGACAGTGTCGCGTACCAATACATGCGTTTCTTTGTAATCCATTTCTCGACGCACACCCCTCCGCGCTCGAAGATATTTTGCTTGGGTCGTATATGCCACCTTCCATGCGCTTCAAGTAATTATTCCAGGGGTGCGCCTCCTGGAGATCCTGTGTCTTGGCAGCTACGTTCTCTCACACATTTTTAATTTCAATTCTCATGAAGTAACGACCACTATATTATCTTGGGGTTCTGGCCTCCATTCTTCTAGCCTAGTGGGATATCTATTTGTTTCATATGTTCGCTTCATCAGGGATGGTGAATTGCTGTCTTGGATACGGGGGAGCGTCTGTCCGGAAGGCACTCCGGTCCAGTGGATTTCCTATGTATCTACAGAACATATCCTCTCGTTATATTACTACCTAATGTAAACCACCTAAATGTGCGTCAGGTTACTTGAACGTGCAAATTAAATACGTCACAATGCGCGCTCCCCAGATTTTGCGTAATCACTAGTAGGTGTAAGCATGTGAAGATGCCTCAGACTAAACTTGCGAAATACTTGCTACATGGGCTGCGCGTTGAGTACGAAAATTAATTAGGTAGAATCTCATAAAAACAAGTGTGAAACAAGCGCAATGTCTAGGGGGGCTGTGTCCCTCAAATGTGTTCATCGTATTGCGTCTCTCAGCACACTCAACACCGAAGGTTGAGAATGCGGAACGGCCCTGCTCACGTACATCGATCGACATGTCTATCATGCTTGTTCGCTCCTAGCGACCAAGATCATCAGCGATCAGCGAACATGTTGAGGGAGCAGAAATTCTGGAACATTTTTTACTTCACAGTTGGAAAAACTTGTGCATCCATCCACCAATACTTCTAGGGAGAATTAGAGACCGTCACAGCCGGTCATGGATGGGCCATGGTTTGGGTGCACGAGCCAGATGCAGGGCCACGCAAGCACGTTCGCTTTGCGCTGTGGTTGAATGCCTCTCTCGTACATTGTAATCGCGAATCTATATGTCAACTCTAAATAGTCAAAATTCTGGTATGTCCTGTTTGCGTTCCTTGAGTCGTGTGACGTGGTATAAATCTTGATATGCGACCTTGCCAATACACATTGTATGCATCAGGTGCCTTAAATCGTGCAATATATGGCGGTTCCTGGGAAGCCGCTTTAGAGTTAAATTTGAGCCGACCATTAGATTGCGTACCGAGGTACATTGACAATCAATTCGTTCCATGGTTTTTCGATTGTCGAGTCGCACAAGCATAATCGTAGCTTACCCACTTGACGTAAGCATGTGCATGGGGGGTTAAGTGGCATATTGCTTCATCTGTCAATAGTTCAATATTCCAAGATTCTAGAATCGCACATATGAGAATTGTGGCCCTACTCCACAACTGTCGTCATCAGCCCAATCTTTACTTCTTTTGCTCATAAAAACATTCTTTTAGTTAGCATGTGCATATTTGCAATTGCCGGTGCCGATAAAGGTCCTGTCAATATATATGGACGCTAGCTTCCCTCTTCAATTTGAGACACGGAAGTTTAGGCGTACTTAGGCTGATAGTACCTTGCTGAACTTTAGATATTGTCATAGCAAGGCTGAGATTTAGGCTCTAAGAAGTAAGAATGACGTCCTTGTGCTTTCACGTGGGTCTGGCGCTTTTGTGATGGGTGGTGTCTTCGCAACGATCTTGGAAGTATAGGAGAATGGCTTGTCTGAAAGGGCACCATGTAATATTGGAAAAAAAAAATTAAAGTGCATCAAAGATGCAAGACTACATAGCTAATCATACAGAACTATCTGTCCTTGGTTTTGTAGAAGGTTGACCCTTTTTCCACGGAAGCAAAGGTATCCCAGATGTACCTTTTTCACGAATATGAAAACCTACTTTTGGCGCTTCTACCCATTCAACCGCATCTTCTCCACCAACCACTTCGATACCCCAGCGAACTTCACCGTCCCGGTCTTTGAACCAACCAAGCTTAGTTTGGATTTGCTTGTCTTTCTTCAGTGCTACACCTTGCTCCTGCACTAGCTCAAGGAATTTGTCGCTGCCAGCAACAAGGACTAGCATGTCGGCTATCAGTTTCACGTCGCGCATCATCAGGCTTGTGTACTTTCGCTGCACACTGATGATAATAAATGTTGTTGCGATGAGCCATACGAGAATTGCTGTTGATATGTAGGTCGCTACAGTGTTCATGTGGAGAAGGCGAATGCGATTCGATACGGAGGCCGTGATATTTCGATACGGGTTTGGATCAGGAATTGCTCGTCTCGAAATAATTGTTCCGTTTTCGTTGACGGGTCGGCCAATATTCCTCATACTCTGATCACCAACGGGCTGGTAAGCATAACCGCCATTTTTCAACGATAAATCGCTATTTACGAATTCCTGAAAGAACGACTGGAATGTGCGATCAGCTGTATCTGCGAGAGTTCGGTAATCGAGCAGTACTTCTGGGTCGCTGCCTACTAGAGAGTACATCGTGTTCGTCATGAGATCCATGTTGGTACCGAGTTCAGGGTCTCGGAACACGAACGCATTCTCGTCGAGCCTTTCCTTGGGCATCCCGAATATTGGGTCCCTCATGAGAGACCTAAGCATGGAGAGAAGAAATACAACACCAAAAGATGTGGTTACATTCATTGGTCCTTCGTACAGGTCATCAAGAGGTCCCAGACTAGCATTCATGAGCTGATGCTTTACGAAAACTTCTGCCCATGCAAAATCGATCGGCGACACAGGCTTCTTGATCTCGTATGAATGAACGGCACCAGAATGTGCATCAACTGAGACGGTGGCTTCTGTTGTTTCTATTACTGGTTGGCACCGGGCGGCCTGCATTTTTGGCTTCTCTCTGAAATAGAGATAGTGCTCTTCATTTCTGTACTGCACTGTTATGCCTTCGCCAACAATCCATTTTGTGACAAACGATAAGGGCCAGGATGCAGAGGTAAACGGAAAGCTTTCGTTATTGGGTGTAGCAACAGACCAATACCCTATGGCGTTTCGGCGTGGTTGTTCCATCGTGCCATTCGAGCAACAACTTATTGCTGTTGCGTCCGCAAGAATTGTGGTTTGAGAAGAGCTATTTTGAAACATATTGCCCGAGAGCTGATAAAGCTCAAAGCCCCCTGTGCTATTGAGTCGTGCAATGTCATTCTTCGTAATTGAACGGGAGCCCGTAAAATTGGCGATTTCGAGCCAGGAAGATGTCTCCGCGACTTCCTCGACCGGTTTACAGTCCAGGCGTGCTTTGATCGCAGGTACCTCCAGACTCACGTTGGTGGATGCAAACACGCGATTTTCGCTAAAATCTGGTGAATGTTGCGGATCTCTGGACGTTGAAAATTGTGCGAGGTCAACCGGTAGAAAGTTCCATCCTCCTAAGGTCCATGGCAGCTCAGATCCATTGAATGAATGCTTGATCCCGGCGCCGAAAAGCCAGTTCTTCCGTGGGTTAAGGTACAACTCGTTCAGAACGAGTGATGGTGTATACTGTATTCCATGCCTAAAAGTCAATTCGATTTCAGAAACCAATGGCTCGTGTCGGATTTCCAGACTTTGCTGTGCCGTCATTTGCTGTGTGACATTTGTCGAAGCTTTTTCAAAAAGCGCTGACATCGAGACCGTAAGGACCTGAGCTAGGACAGAGCCAACTGTGACCAAGAACAATATCCAGTGTTTGTAACGCGCAGCTTTGAAAGCCGCACCGGCCCACGTTTTGGATGTGTACGTCAAACCAGCTCCAGCATTGATCGGAGTTGGTCCTCGAGACATCGATACATAGGGCTGGAGTATTCTAAATGTCATATCCAACTGGTCCCACCACAGACCAATTGCGATACTAGCAACGGTTGGAGCTATAGATATGGGCGCGAATGTTGGAAAACTAAGCTTAAGCTTAGATATATCGGCCTCATAGATAAAGCCAGTCTGTGATAGCTGCGATCGAAGGGAGAAGGCATTCAATGTTAAGATAGCCGTTACGATGGATGTAAGCAAAGCACCTAAGGCAAGTAACATTCGCGTACGAATGACACGCGGCCTCCAGTCACGCTTGATCTTAATAGGTGATTTAACAATAGCTAAATTAACGTTGTTAGTAGGAGACATGAGTCTTGGTGACATTTCAACATACCGGGCTGGGCACTCCCCTGAATCAAATACATGTCTGAAGTCAGGTAACTCTCTTTTCGGAGTGATTTATACAAATCCTCCCTCGATTCGTTATGCATCTTTCTGAAAGTTGCATTTTTTACCAGGTGGGGTTGCAATAAGAGACTCAAACCAACAATGCTTGAGGGGTCCGAACTCAGCTTGAGTGGCCGATGTGACAGGCGAGATGTCCAATAGATCGCCACAAGCAGCACGGTCGAAGCGAAGAAAAGCGCAGCAAGGGCGAATCCGATCTCGACCAAAACGACTACTCTCTCCTGAACAACGGTGGCGGTTCCCACGACAGTATTGGTTTGAAAGAGGTCTGGTGAGTTCAGTGTTTCACGGATCATTTCCGTGAAAAATCTCCCCTTCACTCTTGCTGCTGTTTTAACGATGTTTCGGTCGTTCATTAGAGAGACCAAGTCAAAGTCCGAGAGCACAGCAAGCATAGGTGCCAATCCAGAATATCCTGGAAATCTAGCAGCCCATGGAGGTGCCAGATCAGGCCCAGCAGCTTGAAGAGCGTCGAGCCGCATGGTTTCTCTATCAAAATATGTCCTCCATTCGTCTGTCATAGTCTTTCGTTGTACCTGAACAATGTCCAGAAGACTTTCCGGGAGGTCCTGAATATTCTGATGGCCTTGGGCGCTTGCATTGATGTTGTTGCCGACGCTGTCCGCCAGAAACGCATTTATGTTATCCCTGGACATAGAATAATGAGACTGACAAAGCATTCCTTGCATACGAAAGTCCGCTGAGCGCTCATATGTCATGTTTTCAGGAATCCAAGGACTCGTTTTGAATGGGGTATAGTCGATGGGGGCTGTCCACGGTGTGTTCATGATGATGATATCATGCCCATTACATTGTTTGGATGCGTTCAAACGAGCGTATACATGAGTCGAAGTAACGTTGGGAGCTATGGGATGAGTGCCGACGCCAAGGGGGAGGGTATGCTGTTGAGGGAAGAAAGTAGTCGCATTGGACCATGTAATACCTCCGTTGTATGCGAGATCGACGATGGGATGCATCATCAGTTCGTACGTGCATCCTTGAGTGGAGCTCAATACAAAAGTGACCATAGGTTGTGTTCCTTTGCGGGGGTAGCGGACCATAACATCCCATACATCCGAGTAGGGCTCCTCGCTCATCTCTGCACTTTCGAGTTTCATTTCCTGGCAATCGTAGCCAGACATCAGCGTGGTACTTTCCGCGCCCCATCCATCGTAAGAAGAGGTCAGTTTGGGGCCAAGCTTAGCTACTTCAGATGATGGCCAGAAAGGAAGGGTTAACGTAGTATCGGTGACCCAGGCTGAGGTCGAAATATTCCTCATGAGCGCAGCCATTGTTCGAAAGTAAGTGTCCCTGCTCGCAGAATCAGGAAGACGTATACTATCCTTGGGTACAAGTCTCGTAAATTCGGTTGGTTTCGGGATGCGAATCTCTTCCGAAGTGAGTAGCGCTGAAGATAGTGGTGAGATGGCCAGCAAGGCAATTACGTTTACCAATGCCGCACATACTAAACTCCAGCTAGTCTTGCCCATGGATTTCCGTCGGAAACAGGTATCTGTGAAGATAGACCACCATGCTCTTGGTGTCTGAAGGATCGTGCCATATGCACTTGTGCCTTCTTTCGGTGCTTTGGCGAGGCGAGCAAATGGTTCCGTTCTCTTCACATCCTCAAACAATATGACCGTCATCTGTGCATAAAGTACAGCAATAAGTGTTGGGGTGAACCGCCAACCAAAGAGTATAGCCGAAGAACCGTCGTTGCCACCGAGTCCATGATTCTCATTTGAGTGAAAGCACATCCAGAGGATAACTGATCCAAGAGTGAGACCGATAGCAGTCGTTAATATCAAGTAATACCATCGTAAGGTGAAAGGAAGCCAAGTGCTGTCTCGCACAGGGTGGTTTGATGCTGTCAATAGTCAGACGAAAATTGTCAGTTTCTTTGTCTATTCCCTTACTGTGAGGTGCGAGTTCTTGTGTATTTTCACTCGTTCCGGCCTGGCATGTTTGGGTAGCTAGATTTTCGCAAGGCGGTAACTCTGGTGGCGCTGTATCAATCGGAGAGATTGAACCAAATTGATGTTGAGCCATAACTCCGAGAGAAGAGATTATGGGGCAACACCCTTCGAAACGACGCAAGCAGGACTTGGATGCTTCTCGAGCCGTTGGATATTCGAGGTATTTGAATCATCACAGCAAGGCTGCAGAACCTCTTCAGCCATACATGCATCCTTTGCCCCCATAGTATACATTGCGGCACAGCAACTAGCGCAACAAGAACCCCACTACCAAGAGTTAAATCCAGTAAAAACATACCCGAAGTTCTGGACGCGATCATGTTTCATGGCCGCCGTGCAATAGCACGGCTGGCTAAGCGCCCGGCTGAAAGTTCAGACGACCGTGCAGCGGTTCGCGCCGACAAGCCAGCAGCAAAGGGTACGCCTACATGGCGATCGTGCAGTCTAATCGCAAGGCGCACTCAGGGCAGCGACAGTTTGGAATTTATGGGTCCGCTATGGACTACTGAAAGGAAGCTCGAGTGCAGTCACGTTACCATTGATTAGGTTTTTGAGCTGCAGACTGATGAGATTCGAGGACGCTCGAATCAGTCATTTAGCCCGATGTGATGTTTTCTTCTAGGCTTATCCAAGACTGTAACACATGTTCTGGTGTTGTTTCCTGCGGAAGTTCATTACAAGTAGCTTTTGTTGTCTATTTGCGTGGGGTTGAGAATTGTGCTGGTTTATGACTTATGCTAGTCGGGATGTATTGGGCGTATAGTAGGAGATGGACCCAGATTTTAGCCGCCCGGACTAAGTACCGAGATGTACCTGGCGTATACCCACATTTTAGCAAGGCCACTCTTATCCGCCTGCCTTTTTCGCATGTTAGCCTTGTTGTATCCTATCAGGGTATTGGAAAGTAAAGAAAGGTATCGCAAACTGGCAAGGTGCAGACAAGCGCGGCTAGCAGCATCAAATCATCCAAAGGTATCGACATTGCATTATATATACAGCTTCACTTTCTCAAGTCTACCTGTGTGTTGCACAAGTCCATTTGCCCATACACGCTACTTTGGTATTGACAATGTTTTGAGCCAGGTTCTACAGCAACTTTCTCCCAATCTATAAGTTGCTGTCTCCTTTCGTAGTTGGCACAATAGCTACCGCAGTCGCGAAGTCTTCATCGTGACTAATACTGATCTCGCACAACTGTCCCTCCAATTCATGCACATTGAGAAGTAGGGGAGATTGCGCCTTGTGACCAAAACCAGCATGCGTAGAATCAGTCGAAAGCGCCCGTGCTTTGTAGATCTCGTCGAGAATTAAGCCCTGTGGACGTGACGATTGGTGTTCGTTACGATCCAGTGAAGTAACGGGGAGAATCATGATTCGTTGGAAGCCTCTGGAGTTTTTATCCAGATGGTCGCATGCTTTGCGACATGCTTCCTTTGCAGCAAATCTTTTGTTGTATGAGCTTCTGGTTTCAATAGCTTTGCAACTTTGTATACACACCGGCCTGCGAGGAATGCAGCAACAGCATCAGTTTTTGTGAGAATGTCGTCTGCAGATGCAAAACGCTGCCAAAAGTACTGTTGTTCATGGCTGGTAAGGACTCTCGTCAAGAATTGGTGCAGTGGGCGCAGCGGATCGCCATCGTTGCGCTTGGTAATAACGCTACGTATCCTAGAGATACTGCATATATCTGTGCCCACTCTGAACGGGAACGGAAATGCTCGGGGTGGCATGGAGGTGAGTGGTGTTGTGTTGTGTTGTGTGCACGAGGAAAGCATAGTGCCAAGCCCAACGGGACACAATCTATGCGCAGATAAACAAAAAATTAGTTTACCTCCACAAAAAGAAGAACTAGGATATCAGATCAGCATAATGAAATGACAAAAAAGACGACGTTGGCCAGATTCGAACTGACGCTCCCGAAGGAACAAGATTTCTAGTCTTGCGCGATAACCACTCCGCCACAACGCCTAGTGTTCGAAACGTTCTTAATACTTCGATGGAAAACTTTAGTATAGTATATATTATAACCTATAGATATATCTATCAGTAAGTAACGTCTCGGCAAGTCTAGCCTAGTTCCAATCAGAGCTTGAGTAAGCAAGATAAAAGATATTAAGTGCTAGTCTAAGCGGCATGTTTTCGCGGATAAGAGAAAAGACAATAGAAAGCGAGAGTTCTCTACTGTGTAAGAGAGCGTCTTATTACTATACAGGCCACTTGACTACAGCTCGCCTCGGGTTGCATCCTTCGTGCTTACTTACTACTAGTTCTTAGTCGTACCACACTCGGTTGGAAACATCTATCAGCCCCACGACTCGATATGTATGCTTCATGGCGCTCGCTTCTGGTTTGTTCATACTCGAAATTATTGTAAAAAAAAGTCTAACAGAATGAATTGTGCACATGCAAAAGGCTGAACGAGGGATATGTACTGTAGATACGTACCGGTGAACTGTACGACAGTGCACACGCTTACGGTCGCATCTCGGAATTTGAAAGCTGAGAGAACCAAAGAAAGAACTGTGCTTTCCCGATGCCCTCGGCATCCGATGATCGGTTGTGCGCAGTCAGCTTCGTGTTGAGCCGACCATCATCCCGCTCAGACCGCACGCATGTACGTAAGTACCAGGGTTGGTGCTCAAGCAAGCTGCAAGTGTTGAAACAGTGCTGGCAGTCGTCAACGCCAATCCGCATGCGACATCCAGGGCAAATGGCAAGTGACGCAACGCTACACCGTCATTTTGCGAGGCTTACAGGCAAGGGGCCCCAGGTTTGAGAACGTAGGCTTGGGGTGTGGTTGCGGGGCTGAATGCTCGGACTGCTTGGCTTTTCTTCCGTAGAGTCCGGACTAGGGACAGGAATGGGGCCGCTACGGGTGTGGTACCTGCGATGGCGGCATGTCAGTCAGTGACGATCGATGCTGTGGCAACGGTTGTTGGCATGTCCCTTCTAAAGGCCCGTTTTCCAACTGCTTATTACCTGCTTTGGTTCTGTCGCGCATTGCTTCGGATTATGTACTACGCTTCCTATTTCCAATGCAACTACTTACTTCACCAAGCCTCCTAGGCGTTCGGATTCTCACACTAGATGCTACCGGACCTGAATACTCGCGCTGGCGACGCAATGTCAGGTTTGCTTTGGAAACGAAAAATCGGTGGAAATACTGCAATGGCAGGCGTCCGATGCCGATGCCAAAGGCTACACCTGCCATAGCCGAACCTAACGATATACAACCAAGTTTGCTGGAAGAACGACGAGAATGGATGCGACGAGACCGCGAGGTCAAACTTGACATCTTCCAGTCACTAGCAGAAGAAGTGATGCAGGATGTATTCGGTGTTGGCCCTACACTTCCTCCCACACAGTACACTGCGCAGCAAATGTTGCAAGCACTGGACAATCGGTTTAGTGTCTTTGAGTTTGAAGGTTACCACCACGCGTTTTGTCATTTTTTGAACTTGCACGTGGATCAGTACGAGAGCCTCGACGATTTCAACAAGGAGTTCCGAGCGGTGCTGGAGGATCTGCATGACTATGGCCACCCGATGTCCAATGTCCAAGCATGCAGCGCATACTTTTCCAAGCTGCAATGCACACAGAACCCATGGGTAGCAAAGAAAGTTGCAGAATGGGATATCCAACCTTTGGAGCCGCAGCTGTGCGATCTCATGCAGGCAGCAGTGCTCTGGCCGTGCACCAAGTCTCTTGCATGCAACTCATGGCGGGACTGCTTTGCGAAGCCCAAACCAGAAGAGCACATGGATGATGGCGTTGAGCCTGGACCTACATATAGCGACCTTGAACCTGAACTTTCTGACACATCCACCCTGTCATCCAAAGCTTCACATTCGAGGGAAATGTCTGAGATGATTTCCGAGCGGCAAATTAGAACGGCAATTCATTTGGGCAACAAGCAGTTCGATCCAAAAGCACTGTGTGAAGCGCTTGAGAGAATTCCAGCTATAGTGGGTTCAGAAAGGCCGAGTATGGACCAAGGCGTAAGATCAGAGTCGGCAACGCCTGAATGGCTAAGCGCAAGAGAGAGTATTGATTCACAGCCACCGATGCAGAGGAATGCGGGATCAGAATCAGCCAATATCCCAATAATTTTACTACCACTAGCCGCGCTCCATAAACCAGACAGCAACCCACATACGCGTTCTCTATCAACTCCCATGCCTGAGATAGCGCTCAACCACCCCACGATCCCAGAAAAGAGCCCTCGACGAAAAACAACCGACTTTTCATTCAAACAAGCCGTAATCTCAATCCAAGCAAGTCAAAAACCCCCCTCACTGTCCGATCACCCCGCATTCCGAAACAGAGCATGGTCCCCCCCAGAAGCCATAACCGCAGACCTCCACCCAGCCCTGCGCCCAATGACCCCACTCCTCAAGCCCCAAAAGCCAAAGCCAAAGCCGAAACAAAAAGAACGTTCCTGCTCGCCCCTCGACCTCTCAAGATCCAAGCCCCCGCCTCCGCCACGCAACCACCGTCGCCGCGCCCGCAGTGTAGGAAACTTTTCCGCCCAAGAAACCACCTCATCTTTCCTCTCGCCACCCCCAAGCACAAACACAAGCGGCAGAAACACAAGCACCGTGCTTACCCTCCCCCTCCAAGGACCTCTCCTTCTTTCCATCCCAGACACCACTCCGCCATCCTCACTATCATCATCCACCTGTCCCTTACCCCCCTACAACCCCACCCCGCCCCTACCGCCCCCCTCCCCAGTACACTCCCCATTCCAATCTCAAAAACCCCTCCCTTTCCTCCCCTTCCCCTTCATCCACACACACACCCGATCGCCCTCCGCCCCGCCACTACCAACCCAGCGCCCCATCCAGCCTCCAGTCTCGAAATTCTCGCTCTCGGCTACACCGAGTGGGGGGGATGCTGCGCTGAAAGATAAACATGCGAGGGGTGGGCATAGACGGTTTAGGAGTACAGGGGATTGCGATACCAAGTCCAAAGCTAAGACTAAGGTGGGTCCTAGTAGAGATGGGAGGGATGCAAGGGACGCGAGGGATGATAAGAAGAAGGAGAAGGAGAAGAAGAGGGAGAAGAGTTGGAGTTTGGGGGTTGGAAGAATGGGCAAGTTGGGAGGAGGAAAGGGAGAGGAAGATGGGGATGCGTAGTCAATGTCTACCCTCTCTTCTTCTCGATATTCGGGTTGATTGCTGTTTGAAGCGTATGTATCGTTGTTGGGGAGTCACTCGCTTTTTTTTCTTCTCTATATACCCTTTTTGTTTTGGGGTTTCGGTAGTCTACCTAGATTGGTTAGGAAGAATTTCCATTCTTGTCTTGTCTTAGCATGCTTCCTTGCGAATCGAAACAAATTGAGCGACTGTAGTGTCAACTATCTCCTTCCCCTACTTCTCATCATAAGACTTGTATACTCGAACATCAAACATCACAACATGAAAAGGAACTTTTGTCTTGTACAATTACGGAAGAAGATCAAAACTTTTGCTAAAATGACAATTGGTCTATATTCGCCATCTTATGCTATCGGAATGACGCAGGCGTCTCAAGTCTCCCCATCAAGTGTCATTAATCATATCATGCATGTATTGCAATCACGACTTGTCTACCATATAATGTTGTACAAGCCCTCTACATCTACTGCGTCTCACGCACGACCTTGTCTACAGCCTTTGCAAAGTAGTCAATGTTGTGTGAGTTGAGACCAGCCATGGAGATACGGCCGTTCTTAGTCATGTAGACGTGCGAGTCCTCTCGGATTTTGAGCACTTGCTTCTCGGTCAAACCGGTGAAGCTGAACATGCCAATCTGGTCGGTAATGTGGTTCCATGTGCCGGGTGTGCCCATTTGCTCGAGCTTGCTGCGAAGCTCCTTACGCATTTCCTTTATGCGGCCAGACATTGTCCGGAGGTTCTCTTCCCACTCGGCAAAGAGGGTGGGGTCGTTGAGGACTGTCGAGGCGATGCGGGCACCGTATGCAGGAGGATTCGAAATCTCGGAGCGCTGGAGGATGGCAAGCTGCGAGGCAATACGGGTGATGGTGGACTCGGCGTCGGATGAAGGTGAGGTGATGAAGTGGAAGCAGCCAGCACGCTCGCCGTACAGACCAAAGTTCTTTGCGTACGACTGAGCAATGCACATCTCAAAGCCCTGCTCGACAAAGTAGCGGATGGCCCAGCCATCGGTCGCAAGGTCGCCAGATGCGAAGCCCTGGTAGGCAGTGTCAAAGAAGGGAAAGTGCTTCTTGGACCTGATGACGTCGGCAATCTTCTTCCACTGATCTTGGGTAGGGTCAACGCCCGTGGGGTTGTGGGCACATGCGTGTAGCACGATGATGCTACCCTCGGGCGCGCCCTGGATGGCAGAAATCATGCCATCAAAGTTGAGGCCCTTTGTGTCCTTTGAGAAGTAGGGGTATGTCTTGTATTGGATGCCGACATTGGAGAAGATCTGGAAGTGGTTGGCCCATGTGGGGTCGGAGAAGTAGACGGTGCGCTCTGTCTGTGGCTTGTAGAATTTTGCGAGGAAGAGGGCGCCCAAGTGGACGGCTCCGGTACCGGAAATTGTCTGGAGGCTGGTGACCTGTGTGGAGTGAGCTCAGGCCATGGGAAAGTGGCGTGAGAAGCTTACCCGCTTGTCTTTGATGGCGGGGCTGTCACCACCAAGAACCAGCTTCTGTGATGCGGTTGTAAACTCGGGTAAGCCGGCAATGGGCAGGTATTCGTGGTTAAGGTTGGGGTCGCTACGGAGGCGCTCTTCGGCCTGGTAGGATAGTGTGAGTAATAGTAGAGAAGAAGGTTGATAGTAGGATGCGGGGGCGTGAATCACCCCGCACTCGATGTAGACTCACCATCTTGACGACGGGCAGGATCCAAGGCTTTGCATTGTCGTCTCTGTAGGCGCCAATGCCCAGGTCGACCTTGTTGGGGTGCTCATCACGACGGAAGGCAGCCATCAGACCAAACAAGGGGTCTTCAGGCGCCTGAGGGACGACATTGGCGTCGAAGGCGGTGGCAGCCATGGGGTCAATGTGCGAGGAGATTTGGGAGAGCCGGGTTTGAGGGGTGGTAATGGTGTTGGAGGAAGAGGGTGAGGGGCAAGATGGGGATGAAGTAGATGAGGCTGGCATAGCTGTGGCGTCGAGTGCCAACCAAGAGCACCACGTCTCGCACCGGTTACGTTTCACCGCCCGAGTAAAGGGAAACTGGACGCCGCGTCTACCCACGCTAGCCCCCGCAGATTCTATTTGAGGGAGGGGAGTGACCGGCCGGTGAGGAGATGCGGAGAGCGGAGAGTGGAGCACGGGAGTGCCGGCGCGACGAGATGCAGATGCAGAAGCGTGAACGAAGAACGCCAGGCAATGCAGGGCCTGACTGTACCCAGCAGGCCGCTATATATGTACCGCGATACAGCTGTTTTCTTGCTCGGTTCATCTGATGCAAGGTCGTGTGAGCAAGCCGAGGCACATGTCGAGCACCACCATGGCAGCCGAGTACCCGCCCAGGCCTTCTCACATGCGCTGCCTCTGCGACTGTATTACGTCGTGACAAGCTTCCGTCCAGGTTTGCGGGCAGTCTAGGAATGAACCGCTGTGGGGGGACCCCACAGGGCTGGCATTGCTTGCTTCTTGTAGCAATCTGGTCCACTCAGCATGCGCCCGATGCTAATGCGCCGAGCCTGGCATTATCTTTGCATCTTGGGTATCTACTACTTCATACAACTACTACCTCATACTGCTCTTACACAAACAAGTCCCACAGCACCAGCGTCGCGCAAAAGACACTCGTCGCCCAAAACACTTTTTGCGCCGTGCTGCCCCGCTCCGTCGCCCGCTTCAGCTCCTTGTTACCACTCCCCACATTTTCCTGCGTGTTGAGCGAGTCCTCCACCAGCTGGTCGATGTGCGCTGCTTGCATGCTGAGATTGCTGGCGAGCGTCGACTGCAGCTCAGAGATCTCGGTGAGTGATTTTTCCGTTGCGCTGCGTGGGCGTTAGCAGATGCATAGTCACGCGCATACACCACCGCCACATACCGGATCTTGTCAAGCTGGTCTTCGTACTGCTTGAGCATGTCCTGGTTCTCTTGCGCAAACAGCTGAAGCTGTTCGGGATCCAGCTGATTCTCAATCACCGTGCTCCCTTCGTCCGGGTTGTACGATGCCGTCCCTCGGTAATCTGCCTCAGCACCCTGCCCACCCTTGGGCTCATTGTAGTCGGCCATAGCCGGGGCTGTAATCCTGGTCTTGTGCAATACGCTCTTGCTCTTCTCCACCTCTCGTGTGAGCCGAATCTCCATCATGTTGCTCTGGAACTGCCCACACTCCTCGAGCTGCTTCTGCAGCGACCATATGATGCTCTCTCTATGCGCCTTGATCGTGTTTGCCTTGGCCTCTTCAATCTCCTCCTCTGGGCTCTTTGCTGTGATTGCTCCGCCTGCTGCCCATCGTCCCAGCGCGCCCAGTCCCTGTTTCGCCCGCTTCCTCAGCGCAACTTGGCTTTGGGCTGCCTGCCGTGCTTGCTCTGCAACTCCCAGTGTCTTGATAGCATCGTTGAGTTGGCGTATTGACTGCTTCGCTTGCAGATCAATCTCGTTGCGCTGCGCATCGCTAAGGTACTTTGAGTCCTTGTCAACAGTAGACGAAGTACTGCTTCGTGCCAGCTGTTTTCGGCGGGGTGGATTCGCAGTAGAGAGATAGCTCTGCCGTATCGATTTCAGGTCTGTGTGCAGCTTTGTTATGTGTGTTCGCTATTGCAGTTAGCTACCATCACTCATCTTGCCGCGATGCGCAACGTGGCCTACAATGCGGTATGCCTCTTTGACAAAGTCGTCGAGTGCCTCGACTCGAAACTTAAAGGGCTTGATTGGCGGCGCATTGTGCTTTGCAAGCACCTGGTTGAAGGTGGGCGTGATGTCCATTGTGTCGAGGTGCAAGCAACCTGCTCGTATGAGATGACGATGCTCCCCGCGGGAATGCCATGCTGGTCTTTCTTTCGCTTCTCGGCCAATGACGTACAACCCCTTAGCACCGGCAACATGGCCAGACTGCAGGCTGCCTTCTTCTCTTCTCAGCCCATCTTCAGACTAGATCCAACCCACCTTGCCCTATCCTCGAGGCCATGTTTGATATATGTAACGTCACATACACCAACTCCCAACAATGCTTCCTCGCCCCTAGCCGCTTGTGTAGTGTATTCACTCTTCCGTATCCCCGCATTCCCGCATTCATAGAGGTACCACTAGTCCCGAATCTTGTACCAAAAATACTACCAGCTGTGGCTTGCATCAGAAGATGTACTAGAAGGCTGAGCCTTGGATCGCCCCCAAATAACACGCCTAGCCATCCGATTGGGCCCCAACAGCCATCGTCTCACGACTAACTGCGATCATCTCGCGAATAACCTGTCAGAAGGACGGGATGCCCTAGCCCCAGACACGGTCACAGTATACATTTTTGTCTTTGATGACACGGGCTTCTTGATTCCAACCCGAGTTGTAAAGCTCTTCGTCCTCCTACAGGGACAGCTGACATGTCATCTCACAGTGATCTCTGGCCTTTGACAACAGATCACTCGCTAGGTGAAACCTGAGCGTCGTACCAACCACCGCCAACATATCAGCTTATTATTAGGCTACCCAATGACTGCTCGTATGCAAGATCGTATTCCCTATTGTTCCAAGGCTGGGCACGCCGATGGCGTAGTCAGAATCGTCTGTTGACGTTACTCTGGATACCAGGGTGATAGTCACAAAAGAATGTCACATACAGGACGTTCCTGACTATTTGTACACTGCTGCCCTCGCACGCTCTGGTTTTTCTTCACTCAATCCACTCAATTCACTAGCAATCCTAATAGTAGACTCCCTACCACACCAAAGCTCATTCGAACCACCTTCCCGAAGACGAGACACCATGAAGTCTAATAACATGCTCCTTGCCTTCTTTGCTTCTGTCGCCATGGCTTCGCCTACCGCCCTCAACATGCGGGCTGACGAGGCTTGTATGCCCACGTCTTACACTATTTCCGAATACTCGCTCGTTACCTCGCCCACGTCGGGCAGCGTCCATTTCACCTTCCAGTCGGCCTTTGCCCCTGGTGCCACCGTCGACGATTCGGTCCAGAATGGCGCCCAATGCAGCGCCTCTGATACCTCTGTTCCCAACAGCAACGAGTGCCAGGTGCCCAATCGTCGTCTGCTCTTTGATCTCCGTGCACCCCAGGAGCAGGCCTACTACCAGATTACGCACACTTGGTCTTGCAACGGGTAAGTTTAGTACTTACATTGTGTTGGACATGACCATTACGTCATCTCTTGTTGTCTGAACTAAGCTAATAACCGTGACAGAAGCACCTGGCTCTCTGGCACTCCTGTCAGAATTGATCCACTCACCTGCCATACCGAGGGCAACGAGCGCGTATGCATTGGCGGACCTCTAACCCTTACGCCTCAGAATGTGCGCAGGATCTGCAGCACTCCTACATGCCCCTAGTCTCATTTTGTGCACTATAGGAGAGCTGTCTAGAAGTTTACACAAACTAGAGATGTGTATGTTCATGGGGGGTATGGATTTTGGCCATGAAACAGGCACAGAGTGGTTGATAGCCGAAAGAGCCGATATACCAAAGGCTCAGTAATCCCTAATAGAGAGAGAGATGTAGGCCAGAAAAGCGTCATTACCTAGAAATTCAGCAAATCCAATCGTACTCAATCTTTTTCCTTTCAAAACAACATGACGTGCCGTGCAAGAAACCCTCGCTCGTCTGACTGACACACCATTTCACCACCACCTCGCCCCAAATATCTTCGGCGCAACCCTATCCCTCTTCTTGTCCGCCATCAAATCAATCCTCTGATGTCCCTTTATATCCACCGCCAACGTCTCATACTCAAACTCATCCTGACTCGGCCTCTTGATCAAATGCACATGCACCACACCCTGCCCCTTCGGCCCCTCCACATAAAACTTGAAGCGCAAGTGCTCTGTGCCCCACTTGTCCGTCTCCTGTGTACTACTAATATGGCGATTGCGCGCCCACCGCGACCACGACGGTTCGCCGTACGCCGCGATTTCCGCGCCAGGACCCAGCAGTTTTTGGCAGCGGGCGTCGGTGCGAATGAGGCTTGTTGCGCGGTTGAAGTAGGCGGTTTTGGAGGTGGGGCTTAGGACATCGGAGAAGAGGAAGTAGCCTACGCCGCCCTATAGTTGCACGTTAGCCGTGTGTGTGTGTGTCTAGGGAAAGGATGCGAAAGGTGAAAGTCGTACTGTTGCTAAGAGGCCGACGAGAACGACGACTAGGTTGACGCTTTGCTGGGTTGTGCGGACTATTTTTTCGCCTGGTGAGAGGTCGGACCAGCGCACTTGGCCCGTGTCGCCGGTCAGCGAGATGGATTTTCTTTGGGGCTGCGGCGACGGATTGCTCGTCGATGTGTGTGTTGCTTGTGCATTTGGGGTGGAGGAGAAGAAGGCTTTGCGCCCGAGTTGCGCCTGGCGACTTGAAGCGGGCTGGATGCGTGGGAGGAGGAAAGTAGGTCGCAGTAAAGCGATTGCTTCGGCCGGTTTGTATACTGCAGCCATTGTGGGTGTGGTGGTGAGGGGTCAATGCGATCGCTCAGCAATGCGGAGTCGGAGGCTCGTGTGACGGCGGAGGTGGGAATGCAGCCAAGGCCGAGGCTGCAGCTTGGTGGCGGCCCGTAAGTCGGTCCCTGGATAGCAACTAACTTTTGGGTTATCCAAACCACCAGTATACCCTACTCACACTCGCTATTCACTCTTTTCCACAGTCTCATTCTGCGCGACTTGTACTGCTTGTGTTGCATCGGGCGACATTGAGCGCCAGACAAGATGAGTTCCAACAAGAAGAGTAGCCTCACAGGCTATCTCCCGGATATCCTCATGGCAGCTGCTGCAGTACGTGTCTACCCCCCCGTTTGCTTGCCCGACTTTTTTTTCGATATTGAGAGTTGAGCTGATGTTCAAGACAGCCATTAATAGCCTACTTTGTCATCCGCAACCTGCTCACGCGCCTCGATCCCGAAGCCCAACAAAAAGAAGAAGCCCGCGCAAAGGCCACGGCCGCAACTCGCAAACTCGATGCTATTCTCACAAGTAAACGGCGAAAAAGCTATAGCGAGTATGATAGTGAAGATGACGACGAGACGGACTCGCGGCATCGACGGCCACGGATACAAGACCTCAATCTCAACACGTACGAACAAACAATTGCCATGGAAGTCGTTGCGCCCGAGGAGATTCCCGTCAGCTTTGAGGGTAAGTCGTGACAAGCCCATTGGAAGGGTGCTCAGCTCTGTACTACAGCTTGGAGATGACTGGCGCATGCATGTGCATGC